GTTTCATTAAAGTATAGCATTTATACAGAAAAAGGCATACATCATAAGCATGCAACTCCCTGAGTGTTCACAGTGAACACATCATGTGCCCAGCTCTTAGAATGCCCATGCAGCCATAGGAAGGTGGAGCTAGAACCAGACCCCTCCATGAAGCAGGGCCGCAGAGGCCCGGCACTTCTGTGAAAAGTAATGCAGAAAATTGGCCCTCTAGCCCAGAGAAGCACAAGGAAGCCTGCTGTCTTCCCAGGGCTCTGGGGAATGCCTCTCCCTGGCTGTGAATTTATACACCTGCAGGGAAGAGGACAACCAAGTTGAGATATTCACACAAACTCGGTCTAAGACTGGTGGGACCGCTGGGTCCTGGAAGAAGCAAATCAGAAAGGCCTCTTAGGGACCCTTCCACCACCCAGGAAGCAGAGAACTCTGGAAAAAACACTCAGTATGAATAAGCTAAAAACCAAGCAAACAAAAAACAATGGACACTTTTTTTTTTTTTAAGACAGAGTTTTGCTTTTGTTGCCCAGGCTGGAGTGCAATGGCGCAATCTTGGCTCACTGCAACCTCTGCCTCCCAGATTCAAGCGATTCTCCTGCCTCAGCCTCCCAAGTAGCTGGGATTACAGGCACCGGCCACCACGCCCGGCTAATTTTGTATTTTTAGTAGAGACAGGTTTCTCTATGTTGCTCAGGCTGGTCTGAAACTCCCGACCTCAGGTGATCCGCCCGCCTCAGCCTCCCAAAGTGCTGGGATTACAGGTATGAGCCACCGCCCCCGGCCACGATGGGCACATTTAGTCACGCAGTGTAAGTGAAGACTGGCTCAGAAACTTCAGTTTATTCCCCATACTGAAGACAAAGTGAACCTTCTAAAACATAAGCACGTATCACTCTGCTAAATGGAGGTCACTCAGAAGACACAATTTTTCATTACCTACAAAGTTCTACATCACTCCGCCCTGGTTCCCCTACTTCCCGCCCCCCTACTCAAGCCATGTGGCCTCCCTGCTGTTCCTTGATAGCCTTGTTATGGGGCTGAGTTGTGTTCCGCCAACAGACACGGTGACATCCTAGCCCCCAGGAACCTGTAAACATGAACTCTCTTATTTGGAAACAGGGTCTTTGCAGACGCAGTCAAGTTAAGACGAGGTTATTAGGGTAGGCCTTTAATCCAAAATGACTGGCGTCCTTCCAAGCGGAGAAGACAGCTTGTGACTGCAGAGGCAGAGGTTGGAGTGCTGCATCTACGAGCTGAGGAACGTCAAGGATTTTTGCCACCACCACGAGCTAAAAAAGGCAAAGAAGGATTCTCCCTTACAGGTTTCAGAGGGAGCACAGCCCTGCTGACACCCTGATTTTGCATTTCTAGCCTTCAAAACTGGAAGACAACACATTTGTGGTATTTTGTTCCAGCAGCCGTAGGAAATGAATACAAGCCTCAAATGTGTTCCAGCGCTTGCTGGTCTCTCTTGCTTGCAAACCCTTCCCCAGACAACGCCCTCATTCCCTGCAGGTCCCTGCTGAAATGCCACCTTTGCAGACAGGCTGGTCCTGACTACACTACTGACCTGAGCAGTTGCAGCCTCTCTCGCTTCCTCCCCCTCCTTTAGCTTTCTCCACAGACCCTAGCCATACCTGACAATATGTTGTATGCCTTTCATCTTTGTTGTAAAACAATCATCTGCCTTGCCTTCTAGAAGGTACGTTCCATGAGAGTAGAGACCGTCCAGTTCATTGCTGCACGCCCATTGCCTGCTACGTGCCTGACATAGAATGGAGTCTCCCATACGTTTGTTTCATAAGCGAATGAGCTGTTTGAGAATGTTGTTTGTTTTCCTTTTCACTCTTTTATCCTCCACATGACCTAATGTTTTGCTCATGGTAAGACAGTCAGGAAATATGGGCAGATGGATTAATAAACCTGTCACCACCACTGGGCTGAAGGCTTGCGTGGTGAAGAGGGGCAAGTCAAAACGTGTGGCATGTTGGCCTGGATTTTGTGGCCTCTTTGTTGTAAAATGATTCTAGGGACAATCGATCAGATTTCTCTGAGTAATCATTATAGCTTACCATTTGTCACATGCAGCCACTGTTTCTCTTGACCTGAATCCCTCCTGATTCCTCCCTTCCCCAGTTCTTTTTCTGATTAAGGAATCAGAGTTGAATAATCTAAATCTAGTTTGTGTAGCTCAGAGGTGCCAATCATGGCAAATAATGAATGAAGAGATTTCCCACCCTTTTCCCTGAAGCACTGAGCTGAAACCAACAAATTCATTTTATTTAGGATCACAGGCTGCACTCAAAGTGGTGTCTGTGACAGGTGAGTGCTTTATTCACTAATGAAGTCACCAGGCCTCAGACAAACCCTCTCCCTCCTGGTTGGGGTGCTCCTTATCTCTGTTAGCCCAGACACTGTGCCTTTTTAGCCTTCTGTTTGCTAATGGAATTGGTGTGTAATTTTGTTAAAAATACGTTGTTAGAAAAAAAATTCATATTATGTATGTCATATGGTTCTGCAAATTTCTTTAGCCTTTCAAGGGCTTTTCTGGTAAGCCTGTATTTAGAGTTCACAATTTCTGGGTTAAGGACTGTTTTCTACCAGTTTTGAAAAGGACCAACATAAAGCACATTTTATCTGCTTTCACTGTATAAGAACATAAAAATTTACTTATTGGAGAGCTGTTATATTCAATGTTTGTGAGAAATAAGCCATAGATTAGGAATAACAATTGTTATGGTACTCTCTGTTGGGGAAAAAGAAGGAAGTTCTGTTTTCAGTTATAACCTATGAGTTCTTCATATGTGCCACCAGGAGGTTTTATACATGAGGAATCTTGAATGAGTTTTTAAAAGTCATAAAGGCACCTGTAATCCCAGCTACTCAGGGGGGCTGAGGCAGGAGAATCACTTGAACCCAGTAGGCAGAGGTTGCAGTGAGCCGAGATCACGCCATTGCACTCCAGCCTGAGCAACAGGGTGAGACTCCCTCTCAAAAAATAATAATAATAATAATAATTAATGAAAAAATAAAAAATGGAAGTCAGTAAAAATGAAAGTACAAGATGTGAATAAAAGAAATGAAATTATGCTGATTCATTAAAATATTTAATAAAGTATGTTCTGCTAGTTCCTTAATCATTTCTGGACAGAAACAAATTTAACCTGCGCCAGCCATTGATTTTGTACTGGTGAGACTTGGCATCTTTATGCCTTGTCACTAATCATCAGCGTTTGCCTGGGAGGGACCAGAAGCCCCCTTATCTGCACCCAGCAGGAGGGGCCCAGCACCCTGGATGGAGGGGATGACTTCTCCAGGGCCTCCCAGAGGGGACAAGAAGAGCCTTCATAGCTCAGACTTCTAACACCCCTGGCCATTTTATTCTCTGGCCTTGTCTACACTTCTGGCACACAGTATTGCAATATGAGAAGCCTTTTAATTTAGTTTCTTTAGAAGAAATGGGTTCAGGCCGCGCACGGTGACTCACGCCTGTAATCCCAGCACTTTGGGAGGCCGAGGTGGGTGGATCACCTGAGGTCAGCAGTTCAAGACCAGCCTGACCAACATGGCAAAACTCTGTTACTACTAGAAATACAAAACAAACAACAACAACAACAAAAATGGGTTCAGATTGTAGGTAGAGAAGTATGTTATCCATGAAGATTACCTCTTTAAAGGGCAACTTAAGAAGACTGTAATTTTTGTTATGAGGGTAGAGAATTAGCCACACATATAAGGAAGGTGAGTTGATACCTGGATCAGGTTTTACTGTGCTTTTCTCAGGACATCCGCTTGGATATGAAGATCATGTAGGTAATATGAAAGGCTATCCATTTAATTTGACAGTTTGCATTGGCCTAATAACCATCAGGAGGACCAACTTTAATAAGAAATAAACTAATTCCATCAGTAGCACATATTTAAGCTACAGAAAACTGGGTTTCAGCTGAATCTAGACTCCATCTTCCCTGAATGTTCCATATGGCTTGCCACCTTCGCTCAAATGTGTATAAAGCCTTTGCTCGAATGTGTGTGAACTCTGACCCACCTGCTTCAAATTGCATTAGTCCCTTCCCCCACGCTACCCCATCTCTTTTACCTTGCTTCATTCTTCATGTGTCCTGAGAAGGAAAAAGAAGAGGGGAGGCCGTGGAAGGGCTCCATCATTCAAAATGTTACATATTGTGATTATTTTCTGTGTCTCCCCTAACCCCATGTAAACCCCCGTCTGCTCTATTCACTACTGTTTTCCCAATGCACATAGTAGGTGCTCAACATTTGTTCAATGAATACCGATGCCTGAGACCTTTCTGTACCAAGGGCTGGTTTCCTACTCCACAATGCATTGAACATATATGGGCAGGGTGGGCTGGCGGAGGTGTAGGAATGAAATGTGCACCTGTTCCTCCCTGTGGTCTCAGTGTGCGACCTTGGGGGCGGGGCAGGTGGTTAAACTGGGAAGGTGCGCGGATATGATACAGACAAACCTCATCATACCGTCCCTCCAAGAAATGCACTTGCCAGGCTGGCCTTCAGTTTTCCTAATGCTCTTCTGTGAGTCTCACCTGTCAAATTCTGCTACACAGAGCGGGTGCAGATAAACTGAATAATCCCTTTTTCTGTTTTGAAAATAAAGCAAAACAAAACAGGATCTGCACACTTGTGCTGTGACTAGGCAGGCAAACTGGAGAACTGAGGCAAAAGCATCCTTATATCTAAATAATAGTAAAGGAAACGTCAAAAAAAAGTTTTTTGCTGAGTCATGGCTGAGGATCCTCAGTTGTCTAGCTTGGCAGATGCAACCAGGGCACCCGTCCAGCGCAAATACGAGTCGAGCAGGTTTTGCAGTGACCTGCGATGGTGGTGGGGAGTGGGCTTCTAGCTCAGCCGCCAGGCCCATTTTCCCGCAGGGAGCAGCGCCCAGCTGGGGCGGGCTCTCCGCGAGAGGCGTGTCCCCGCCTGGCCTCGCCCCCGAGGCCCCGCCCCGGCCCGGCAGCGAATGAACGGGCGCGCCGGGAGGGCGCGAGGTCAGGGGGCCGGGGACGCGCGTGGGGAGCGCTGCCCCGCTCGGCCGCTGCTGGGCGGACACCTGGGCACGCCAACGCGGGAGGAGCCCCCACTCGGTCCGAGGCTGCCGGGGCAATGCCTTCACTCGGCGCAAACATGGCTGCGGCCCTGCGCGCCGCGGGCGTCCTGCTCCGCGATCCGCGTAAGTGGGTCTGTCGCGGCGGCCGCCAGGGCCAGGGTCCCTGAGACGGCGTGGGCAGAGCGGGCAGCTGGAGCCGGGGCCCTGGCGTCCCGGGGATTTCGGGATCGGCCGTGGGGGCACTGCGAGCAAACGGGCGAGGGGCTTCGCGGAGAAGGGAGGGGTGAGGGCAGCACTCAGGGCTCGGGGGGCCGCGGGGAGGGCGCCTGGATCCAGGAGGCGCAGGTTCAAGTCCCATCGGTCGGCTGGGTGGCTTGCAGCCGTGGCTGGAATTTCCTAGAGCCTTGGTTTTTGTCACCTGTAATAACCAGACTGTTGAGAAGGTTACACCAGGGAAGGTATGTTATGGGCCTGCCGTAGAGGACAGTAAGGAAGGCATCGTCATCATCACCACCATGGACATCTGCCTTGCATTTCCTTCCCTGCTGAGGAAAGCCCATGGCCCTTGGTCCCTCTATGCCCACTTCTCCTTGGCAGTAGGACCCACCGTGGGGCAGCCTGGGCTGCTGTTTTCTAGAGATATTTGGAGAACATGTGAGACCCAGGAACAGCTTCCCATGTTTCTGATGCAAACCGTGAATAGGTTGTGACCGCAGGATGAGCTGATGGGACTGTGGGTCTCACCCACCTGGCTGGGACAGCATTTCCAACTGTGACACCTTGAACAAGGCACCTAACTTCGCCAGAGCTTTGGTAAATGTACATTGAAATCCTAATTTTTTTAAGGCTTGCCTTGAACATGAGCACCTTGCCTGGCACACAGTAGGTACACAGGCATCTTCAAAATGTCTAGCCATTCATGTAGAAGGCTGCCACAAATAAGATGCTTATTTAATGCATCTGAACGGTGACTGGACACAGACCGGACATATTTTTCTAGGAAGTTCATCAGTCTGACACCGACTTGGAGTGGAGAGAATCCCCTCTGAACCTCCATATCTCATTAGAGGTGGCTTTGTTAGGAAAATAATAAGGACCCAGTGTACAATGAGGCTAGCTCACTAAAGGCACTGGGGGACAAAGGACATTGTTTTTAAAGAAGAGGCAGCACAGTGCCAGTCGTGGGGCCGAAAGAAGTATTGAACTAATCTTTTCTTTCATTGACCTTTCCTGTGGCAAATGAAGTCTGACAGGCCTTAGATTTGAGGTCATGGAACAATACGTGAACTTTAAATTATTTGTAGTCTAGATTAAAAGTGGAAGGATTCAGAAACTCTAGCAGAAATACTTTTGGAGTCTATTTGTGTTACAGACTTTGATTTGAAGGTGTAGTTATAATCATCATTTTGGTTGATAGGAAAAAATCAACTTCTGTGTGAGAAAACATTGAGGAGTATTTCTGAAAATGAGTTCTGAAAGTAAAAGTGGAAAAGCAAAGTTTTATACTTTATGTATCTAGCATATTACAGAATTAATAAGCTTCCTGGGGTGGGCCATATATTATCTGTCTGTCTGTTTAGCTATCTATATGAATTATTTTTTTTCTTGGTGCCTTTTTCTTTCCAAACTTTAAACATGTTTTGTTTTGTTTTGTTTTTTAAGAGATGGAGTGTTGCTCTGTCGCCCAGGCTGGTATACAGTGGTGCCATCATAGTTCACTGCAGCCTTGAAATCCTGGGATCAAGTGATCCTCCCGCCTCAGCCTCCCTGGTTGCTGGGATTACAGGCATGATCTGGTGTGCCTGGCCTTCCAAACTTTTTTTTTTTTTTGGCTGAGCATATATTGTCTTATGTAATTAGAAAAAAAAATTCTAGGATAATAAAAGAGTTTTAGGGTTTACATAAAAGACATTAGAACATTTTGGCTCCATATCAGCAACTAACCAATATTTTGAAGCACCCACTATGTTTATTGATAGTTACAATATAGAACCTTATTTCTGTTGTTAATTTTAAAAATGGTGCATATTTTATAAGTACTTTTGAAGTAATCTTCATCTCCTGTGTGATAGAAAAGGGCCATCATAGATTTCAGTACTTGTGTACCTCGCCTTTTACTCTCTTCTGCCTCACCTGCAAGGATCCAAAATGTTAATTTGGTTTTGAAGAACCAGTTGATACTTATTAACTTACGAACTTCTTAAGTCATGGGTATACTTTTGAATGATCACCTATTGGATTTGTCCAGGAATTATGAAGTTTGTTTTTTGAGAGAAGTTTTTTTTTTTTTTTTTTTTTTTGAGACCGGGTCTCACCGTTGCCTAGGCTGCTGGTCTTGAACTCCTGAGCTCAAGTGAGCCTCCTGCCTCAACCTTCCAAGTAGCTGTGACTACAGGTGTTCACCACTGCAGGAGTTATGAAGTTTTTTTGTTTTGTTTTGTTTTGTTTGTTTTTGTTTTTTTTTCTTTTTTTTTTTTTGAGATGGAGTCTGGCTCTGTTGACAGGCTGGAGTACAGTGGCGTGATCTCGGCTCACTGCAGCCTCTGCCTTCCAGGTTCAAGGGAGTCTCCTGCCTCAGTCTCCCAAGTAGTTGGGACTACAGGCATGTGCCACCACACCCGGCTAATTTTTTTGTATTTTTAGTAGAGATGGATTTCACTGTGTTAGCCAGGATGGTCTCAATCTCCTGACCTGTGATCTGCCCGCCTCGGCCTCCCAGAGTGCTGGGATTACAGGCGTGAGCCACCGCGCCCGGCGGAGTTTTGTTTTCTTTTGTCATCTTCTGTTTTGCTGCTTATCTCTTGGTTTGATCATTTTTATTGTTTGTAGGCTTTCTTTTTTTTTTTTTTTTTAAATAAAAAATAATAGAGATAGGGTCTCTTCACGTGGCCCAGGCTAGTCTCAAACTCCTGGGCCCAAGCAGTCCTCCCGCCTCAGCCTCCCAAAGTGCTGGGATTACAGGTGTGAGCCCCCATGCCCGGCCTGTTTGTAGGCCTTCTAAAGGTAGACCAGTTATCCATGTAAGGAGGAGGGGCAGAATTACTTGGTCTTAGTTCATAAATGGGCAAGTCTGTACTATTGGATATTCTTCACCCCTTTGCTTAACCACATGCAGTGTGGCAAGGCATTGCTGTTGGGGCTGGACATATTTTTCCCCTCTTATCTTCACAGCAGCCCTGCAGAAGTAGCCTTATCACTATTTTGCAGATGAGAAAAGTGAGACTCGCAGCATCTCAGTGAGTTGCCCAGGCCCAGCCATACAGCCTCTTGGTCCCGTGTGGGATTTCTGCTCAGATCTCTCTGGTTTCCGAACACGTACTCTCTACGCCACTCAATGCTGCCTGTGCCATCAGATTCTCTTCAACTGTGAGCTGAGTCTTTTCCAGAGTCTCAGTTGGCCCTTTGAATGTTTGCTTTAAACTCCTTTAGCCTGGACAAATGCTAATTGTTTGGTAGGAGACACTCTTCATTTCTCTAGAATCTTCAGATCATTAGGGGAGAGGAGTATTTTAGATGAGTCCTTGAAGGGTGAGTGTATTAACTCACCTGAGAGGAAAGGGTCCCTTGGTAGCAATATCATTCTCCTCTCTGAGAATCTGGTGAACCATGGAGAACATAATTTTGTAAGTAGGACATGGTAATAGTTAAGCTGCTTGAAAAGCTACTAGCTCCCAGATTTTACTAGGAAATCCTCATCTACTAGTTGGAAAATCTAATCCCTCCCCACCGCTTCCTTCTTTTTTTTTTTTTTTTTTGAGACGGAGTCCTGCTCTGTCGCCCAGGCTGGAGTGCAGTGGTGCGATCTCGGCTCACTGCAAGCTCTGCCTCCCGGGTTCACGCCATTCTCCTGCCTCAGCCTCTTGAGTAGCTGGGACCACAGGCACCCCCCACCATGCCAAGCTAATTTTTTTTTTTTTGTATTTTTAGTAGAGACGGGGTTTCACAGTGTTAGCCAGGATGGTCTCGATCTCCTGACCTCATGATCCACCCACCTCGGCCTCCCAAAATGCTGGGATTACAGGTGTGAGCCACTGTGCCTGGCCTTTCTTTCTCTTTTTTTTTTTAACTCCTTAAATTTTTTGTAGAAACGAGGATCTTTCTATGTTGTACAAGCTGCCCCAAAATGGCTGGGTTCAAGCGATCCTCCCACCTCAGCCTCCCAAAGTGCTGGGATTACAGGTGTGAGCCACCACACCTGGAACTCCTTCCTTTTTTTAGGTTTTAAGGAGGAAATGTCATTTTATTACAGATGGAGTGCCCCTTATCCTGAATGCTTGGGACCACAGGTGTTTTGGATTTCAGATTTTTTTAGGTTTTGGAATATACTTACCGATTGAGCAGTCCAAATCTGAAAATCTAAAATTCAAAATGCTCCAATGAGCATTTTCTTTGAGTGTCATGTCAGCGCTCAAAAAGTTTCAGGTTTTGGAGCAATTTGGATTTTGGATTTTCACATTTGGGATGCTAAACTTATACCAGCAGTCAAATTGTGGAATGCCAAGGTTTTATTCTCATATCCCATGGAATCGGATACAGTCTCACTCATATAAGGAATTAGGGACATTGCAGCATGATTAGGAACCTGGTTAAATCCCATGATGAAGTTCAGAATTAAACTTATGTAAAAAAGGAGATGTGAGTTGGTTTGAGCCTTGGAATTGAATTTCTTTTTTTTTTTTTTTTAAACACCAACTCAAACCAGATGGAATTGAACTTCTTTATGGAATCTTTGCACTTCCACTTTGAGTTAGTAAAGATTATTTAGCATAAGCTCACATAATTGGCTCTGCTGGGAATGTGCACAATCTGGATGGTTGGAAATCTAAGGGCCTGGAAATATCATTCTCTTCTATTTCACAGACATGCTAGGTGATAACATCAGAGCAGGTATAGTTCCCATCCTCTAGAAACTGTCAATTGAAACTAACGCCAGCACTAATCACATGGTGGATGCTGCAGAGCGCTTCACTCCTCTGCTCTCCTCCTCACAAGAATCCCTGTAGCAAGGTGTCATTTTACAGATCGGGAAACTCAGGCTCAGGAAGACCTGGCCCCAGGTCACATTGCTAGTAAGTGGCAGAGCTGAATTCAGAGTCAGAGCTGCTTGACCCACAGCCTAAATTCCTCCTCAGGGCACCTTTGCCTGTTAGGAGGAGGAGGGCAGAAGGAGACTGATGGCAAGCTGGTTTCTAACCGACCGGTTTGAGAATGGGGAAGAGGTCATGTGCGTAGCACCAGGCGCCATAGTAACCGCCCTCTCACATGGCCATCTTCAGTACATCCTCTATGGCTTCAGTTTCATTTCACTGGATGTTTAAGGACTAGTACTCTTCATATGACAGCTGAGTATGGCACACGGACTCCTCAATTCAGGTGGGTTCTTCAGGCCCACTGCCACCTCCTGTGGGGCCCAGGACAAGGGTATACTTGAAGGCACATATATGGTATGTGGGATGTTGCAAGCTACCAAACTGGGAAATATGTTCTGTCCTCCTATGTTGACAAATAGACCTTGATCACGACCTGGAAGGGTGAGCTCTTGAACTCTGAGCTCCTGCAGAAATGCAGAGGCCTTTGGAGAGTTGCCTCTGATTCATACACTTTCCTGCTTCTCTTCCTGCCGCCAGCTCTTTCTGGCCTTGTGAGGAGTCTCGCCCACAGCCTGGGTGGATTCTCTGGTCTGCATGCCTAGTTCCACTCTTGCTCCTGCAAACGGCTATCCCTTGGCCACCATTCAGGTCAAGACTTGCTACACTGATGGCACAACCTCCCTCAGGAGGATGGATCCAGAAAAGATGCCTGCACCCACCCTGGGAGTGGGTGTGGAGCTTGGGGGACAGGGAATCCTGGGGCACTGGGAGCCTGGTCTGGTACGTGGGATGTGGACTCCTGGCGGGGCATGTCTCCTTGGTGGTAGAGACTGCATACCCCGCGGGGTGGGGTGCAGTGGGAGGAGGGCTAAAACAGACCCTGGGAAACAGAGGCCCCTTGTCAAGGTTCAAGGGCAGTACTGGGTTCTCAGCACCAGTGCTTTCTGAAGAAGGCTTGGAGGCAGAAGGGAGAACTGCAGCTATGTGAAAACTGGCCCAGTTGCCACTCCTGAAATTGGTGGCTTTTCACCTTTTCTGCAGCCCCTTCTCTTTCCACAGGAGCAGCACGCTACTGTCAGTCATGTTGGTCTCGTACAGGGCTTCTTGTGAGGGATTGTATCAACATCTGCAGCCGAGGTGGGGAGAGGAGGTGTGTGTAGTTTCTAAAATGCTTCCCTGCAGGCTCTCATCGGCCATCCTAGGGGAGCGATCCTCCACCCCATCCGCTTGGACAGGCCTTAAGTGCCTTTACCTGCCTGCAGAGAAATGCTAGGAAAATCATTTCTGCCATCGCATCTCTTTAAATTTTAAATCCAGGAATTATGCTCTGAGGACTTCTTCAGAAGAAATTACTTTCCGGCTAGATTTCATGCGAGCATTTTAATTTTGTCACAGTGGCATCCAGCAGCTGGAGGGTCTGTCAGCCATGGAGGTGGAAGTCAGGTGCAGCTGCAGCAGCCGCCGCCACAGAAACAGCCCAGCATGCCCAGCATGCAAAACCTCAAGTTCAACCGCAGAAGAGGTATGAGTCTAACATCAGGTACAAATAAGGATTTCTCTTTATTGATGCAGACACCAGTAGACCCAAGCTGCCTAGGAGGAAAGGTGCTGGGAAAAGCCAGTGTGGAAGGAGCGGTGTGCTATTTTCTTGGCTTCCTTTCAACAGCTGTTAAACCACAGATTTTACACCCTCCTTCCCCACTGGATCTTTCCTCGCAACAGGGCTATTGTTAAAAGACACAGTTGAGTACAGTCTGCAAATTGTGTTAAGAATTTGGTTCTGGAATATGTCATGTAACAGAAATTATATATGCTGGAAATGTATTTATGAACCTAACATAATTATGCCTATGAAATGTATGTTCTGTACAGGATAACGAATAACTGATCTACCAAGAATTTCTATAGGAAACTAGAGTATTGTTTTTCATCCCTTAACACAGTGAACATAATTATAAAGGAAGTAATATGATTTATCATCAATTAAAGAAGTGAAGTACATGTTTCATACCTCACCTCTTCTGTTGCTGGTGGCTGGCAGCAGGCATGGCATTGTTGCAAGGGTCCTCTTTAGTAACAGAAGTCACAACTGCTCCCAAGTCTTCCTCTGTACAGAGGCAACAGAAGACTCCATAAAGGGAAGTTACCGAGATGAGTACATAGAAACAGCACCCTTTAATATCAGGCAGAGCGAGATAAAGTAGCTAGGACCTATTTAACTCCATGACCTTTCTCCTAGATCACACATTGTGTGATGAAAATTATACAGGTATGAGTGTGTGTGTATAATATATATATTATATATATATATTATATATATATAATTTTTTATTTTTTTGAGAGAGTCTCACTCTGTCACCTAGGCTGGAGTGCGGTGGCACAATCTTGGCTCACTGCAACCTCCACCTCCCGGGTTCAAGCAATTCTCATGTCTCAGCCTCCCAAGTAGCTGGGATTACAGGCACACACCACCATGCCTGGCTAATTTTTGTATTTTTTGTAGAGATGGGAATTCACTATGTTGGCCAGGCTGGTCTCGAACTTCTGACTTCAAGTGATCCGCCTGCCTCGGCCTTCCAAAGTGCTGGGATTATAGGCATGAGCCACCACACCCAGTCATATATATATATATATATATATATATATATATATATATATTTTTTTTTAGAAGGAGTCTTGCTCTTTCACCCAGGCTGGAGCGCAGTGTCTTGATCTTTTCTCACTGCAACCTACACCTCCCAGGTTCAAGCGATTCTCCTGCCTCAGCCTCCCAAGTAACTGGGATTACAGGTGTATGCCACCACACCCAGTTAATTTTGTATTTTTAGCAGAGATGGGGTTTTACCATGTTGGCCATGCGGCTGTCGAACTCCTAACTTCAAGTGATCCACCTGCCTTGGCCTCCCAAAGTGCTGGGATTACAGGCATGAGCCACCGTTTTTATTTTGAGAAGTGTTGCACTGTCACCCAGGCTGTACTACAGTGGTGTGATCATGGCTCACTGCATCCTTGAACTCCTGGGCTTAAGCGATCCTCCTGTCTCAGCCTCCTGAGTGGCTAGGACTACAGGTGCACACCACCACACCCAGCTAATTAAAAATTTTTTTTTCTTGTAAAGATGGGGTCTTACTTTGCTGCCTAGGTTGGTTTTGAACTCTTGGCTTCCAGCAGTTCTCCTGCTGTGGCCTCCCAAAGTGCTGGTATTACAGGCATGAGCCACGAGCCACCGTGCCTGGCCAAAACCAAAATTTTCTTATTGTGTGTTTATTATTTTCTGCTGTATGATCGTAAGTATGATGATTTAGTGCTGTGTAACCTGAGGTTACTTGGGGATGGGCATTGGATACCTTCTTCATCTGGCAGCCTGCCAAGAAGGACCCATTCCATTTCTCCTTACCTTTCCCAGCCCCTCTCCCCACTTAAGCCATAAGTACTGAGGGTTGGGATTTGATAGAAACTGAAGAACCGATTCAATGTGGAATCCTGGAAGAAAAATTATTTCATTTGTGTGTTATTCTAGTGGCAACTCATTAATATAAGTAGCCTTAATATTATTAAAATTAAATTAAAATCTTTAAGTTCTACTAAGTAACTTTAGATCATATTTATATAAAATACATGGGATCATTTTAGAGAATACAGATAGGGAAAAAAATACTTTAAACATTATGAAAGGTCTTACCACCCAATATTTTGTTTCTCTCTTCTTAAAAAAAAAAAATAGAGACAAGGTCTTACTGTATTTCTCAGGCTTGTCTTGAACTGCTGGGGTCAAGCAGTCCTCCTGCCTCAACCTTCCAGAGTGCTGAGATTACAGGTGTGAACGACCAGCCAGGCCAATTTTGTCTGTATGACTATTAAGATTCACTCTATGTATTTAGCAAGATGTGACCGTACTATACATCATATATTTATAATGCCCTCTTTTTATTTATCATCATATAAATATTTGTCTATATTATTTTGGTAACTGAAGAGTATTTTATTAAGTCATAAACTACCCTGTCCAACATTATGGGACGTGTAGGTGATTTATAGTTTTTTAATACTAGAAATGGTGAAGCAATGTTTGTGGATTATTCTGATGGCAGACATTATGAAGGCATTGTGCTGCTTAATGCTTGGGCTGGACTAGATTGCAGTACTAGGGTAGACACTACACTAGGCTGGGGTTGACAGATTCGTTCTGTAAAGGGTTAGGCAGTAAATTTTTCAGGCTTTGTAGGCCAAACTCTCTCTTTTGCTGCTATTCAACTCTGCTGTTGTAATGTGAGAGCAGCCACAGATATTACATAAACAATGAGGGGAGCTGTGTTCCAGTAAAACTTTCTTTACAAAAGCAGGCAGTAGGGGTGTATGTGTGTACACAGATTTAGTGCCTGGGCTGTAGTTTGCCAAATTCTGTTCTAGAGGCATTGTAGACCCACAGGCCAATCATGTCTTAGAGGTTCAATGAAGAGCTGGGATCTTATTACTTTTTCTTGAGGCTGACCATATAGAGTAGAATAGAATTATTGTTTATGAATTGACAAGCTTAAGTTTCTGTTACGTACATTTAATATTTCAAGGAAAAACCTTGTATTTTGAGAGTCCGGGATATAAAAATGGCAAAATGTTGAAACCTTTCCAAGTGAGACATTTTAAATATATTTTGCTGTATACGCTTTTATGTTTAAACAAACGGAACATGAACGTTCAGACCTTGGTCTCAGGTGTGTTCTGTCTGGAAGGAGAGGCGATGGAGGCCCTTGACTAAAGCTTTCACTTCACATTCTAGAATAGAGGGGTGTCAGACTAGGACTTACTAATGCGCTATTCATCATGCACAACACAGTTTTGAATTAAGTGCATGTGTATTTAGGTATTTTCAAGTCGTGTGCATCTCTTTAATGTGTAAGATCAACATGGGTTTGCAAAACCGTGAGCAGGGCAGAGTAGCATCCCCTTTAAAGCCACTCTTGTTCTGAGCTCAGGTGTTATAGATGAAAAACAGCTCTAAATCCCGTTTGCACACTGATACTGTCTGTGGCTTGGGTAAATCTTTTAGCCTGAGGTTTTTCAACCAGTAATCTGTTAACTGGCAGCGATCCATGGGAAATGCACTTAATTTATTGTGAGTCACAGATTTTGAGGGCGAAAGACAGGATCCCAGGAGAAGACTGGTGGTCTAAGTAGAAAGATTAAAGGAATATCACAAAATAATGCATCTGGAATTTTCAAATATCAAGGAAAGAAAACTCAGCACACCCCTGTTAATGCAGTCGTAGGACTCGAGCATGGAAGAGTTATATAACAACCACATCTTCACTGCAGTTGCTTGGTTTTTTAAAAGGGGATGAAGCCCTCTTCCTCGAAGACAGTGATTCTCAGTAGGGGGAAGGGGGCATTTTTGCCTCCTGGGACAAATTTGGCAATGTCTGGAGACATTTTTGGTTGTCACACTGGGGTGGGGTGTGTGCTGTTGTCATCTATAGGTAGAGGCCAGGTATGCTGTTAAGCCTCCCGCATTGCACAGTACAGTCATCTACAACAAAGGACTCTCCAGCCCCACACGTCAGTAGTGCTGAGGCTGAGAAACCCTGGTCGAAGACAATGATGTGAAAAGGGACCTTAGTTAATCTTTATAATGGGGTCTAAATGAGAAAATCCCTGACCTCATTGTAATGCCATATTTCTCCTTCCCCAGGAATTGATTCGTATTCTGAAAAATTAGGTTGAGAAATCAAGATTTTTATCTCATTCACTTCCAATAGGTTTGATCAAGAAAAGTTTCCACCCGTTTACATTTGACATACGCTGCTGCCTTACATTATTGCCAAATGTTGTTAATAATTGTTTAAAAATTACCCATTAAGATGTCATCATAAGCCCAGGACAATGGCTCACACCGGTAATCTCAGCACTTTGGGAGCCTGAGCCAGGAGTTGGAGACCAGTCTGGGCAACATGGCAAGACTCCGTCTCTCTAAAAAAATTTAAAAAGTAATCAGGCATGGAGGCAGGTGCCTGTGGTCCCAGCTCCTCAGAAGGCTGAAGCGGGAGGATCGCTTGAGCTCGGGAGGTCGAGGATGCAGTGAGCCTTGTTTGTGCAACTGCACCCCCGCCTGGGCGACAGAGTGAGACCCTGTCTCAAAAAAAAAAAAAAAAAAAAAAAGAACAAAAGGTGTCATCATAGTATCATTAGTTGTCAAGCACATAAAGAATGTTTTTCTCTACAGGCTCTGTCTCAGCAGCGTCGGCTTAGTCGCTGCCGTAGTCAGACGTGGTCTGGTACAGGAGATTCAGGAAGTGGACCCCTCAGCACTCGTAATAACGGTGTTTAGATAAACTTCAGGCTGGTTATTTTTCAGCTGCTATATTGAAAGTGAATAGAGGGTACAACCATATAATGAAATATTATTTAGCAATAAAGAGGAGTGAAGTGTACTGATTCATGCTATGACATGAATAGGCAAATCTATAGACCCAGAAATGTCCTGAATAGGCAAATCTATAGACCCAGAAAGTAGATTAGTGGTTGCCAGGGGTGAGAAGGGAGGGAATGGGGAGTGGCTTTAATGGATTCAAAGATTCTTTGTGGGGTAAAGATGTCCTGGAGTTAGATAGTTGTGGTGGTTTCCTGCCCTTCCTTATGATTAGAAACCTCTGAATTGTTCAGATTATGGTGAATTTTATGGTATGTGAGTTATATCTCTATTTTTAAAAATGAAAAAAGATGAATGAATGGAAGAAATGCTCCTTGTTCTTTAGTTCCCCAGTTATTGCCATCCCATGGCTACCTGTTCATGGGGACACACAAGGTCTTCTGATGGCTCCCGCCAGCGTGCCAGAGGCACCTGGTCCTGCTCCGGCTTCGCCTTGCTCTCTGGAGGGGCTTAGGAGTGGAGAGCTCCTGGCCTGGCTCGCTTTGGGCTGTGTTGACTCCGGAGCTTGATCTGGATTTTAGGTTTACATTTTTGCCTAGTACTTTGTTTTTTTAAGTTTCCAGAAACTGCTTGACCTAAAACTTGTTATGGAGCTCTGCTTTCTTTTTGCTTCTTCCTGCTCATTCAGTGGTTGATTCTCTACCCTGGGACTAATTTGAATGTTAGCACCGGTTCTTGCAGGAATTATCTAGCAGTGAATTTACATGCAGGATGGAGAGGAGAAGTTTATCATAACAGGAGCCACAGGTGAAGGAATAGAGGGAGGTCCTAGAGAAGGAAGCAGAGGAACAAGCAATAACTTCAGTCAGTCCTGGTACGGTGGCCCATGCCTGTAATCCCAGCACTTTGGGAGGCTGAGGCCGGTTCCTGAGGTCAGGATTTTGAGACCAGCCTGGCCAACATGGCAAAATGCCATCTCTAGTAAAAATACAAAAATTAGCCCGGGTGCCTGTAATCCCAGTTACTTAGGAGGCTGAGGCAGGAGAATTGTTTAAATCTGGGAGGCGGAGGTTGTAGTGAGCTGAGATCGTACCACTGCACTCCAGCCTGGGTGACAGAGTGAGACTCCATTTCAAAAATACAATAAAATGTAAAACATAATTTCAGTCAGTACTCATTTAATTTAATCATTGACTAAAGAGACAAGAGTAGATGCAAGAGTGGGGATGGGCTGGTATTAGACTGTGGAAGTTTAAAATTAGGGGGTAACCCTGCTCTGTGTAGAGTAGAACTTACCATGTGCCTGCACGTGCTAAGTGACTGAAGCTGTTACCACTGAATTCTCAAAACAGCATTTTGAGTAGGTGGTGGGTGCTGTGTTTTCCAGATGAGGAAACCTGAAGTTGGGAGAGGTCGGGTAACCTCTGTATTCGCATGGCATTCACATGTACAAATGCTTTAGCCTCAGGACAATTTTAGACTTCTACCTTGACTCCCAGTCCCTAAAGATTCAATCTCTGTTCAGGCTGAGACTTTAAAAGGGAAACATTTCCAGCTGAGTGAAGACTGATATCATGGATTAAGTCAAAAGACAAAGGTCCGCGTCTGAGCTGGGACCATGAGGAACTGGAGGCCACAGATGTCCCTGAATAGGTATCCGTGTGATGGCAGTGAAAAGAGCCGTAGTATTTACCTTTGTACGGAACAGGTTAGATAAGGGTTGCTGGCTGAACCAAGATTCCACCCTGGAAGAAAATCAGAAGTGTGACAAATCAACCATTGTATTTTATTTTATGTAGGAAGCCCAAAACTGGAATATTAATGCTAAACATGGGAGGCCCCGAAACCCTCGGAGATGTTCACGACTTCCTTCTGAGACTCTTCTTGGACCGAGACCTCATGACGCTTCCTATTCAGAAGTGAGATCCATATAAACACCTCGACTTGATTATAACCTTGGCACTGCATTGACATGCGTCTCTCAATTCTGTAGTTTCAAACCAGTAAATTGTTTTAATGCGTATCTGGTAATGGTTAAAGCAGCAGCATTGTTTTCTATTGGATATCAGAAGGATATGATATCAGAAAATTTCAGTGGGAGAGAGCAAATAAGTTAGTGAGGATTCTCCTTGAGCCCTTTGCTCCCCAGAGCCCTGGAAATTGCAGTTTACTTGACATAGCCTAAGCACCTTTAAAGATTTTTAAAAATGTATTTGTCCTTGGCACTTAACGGCTGATTAACAGTCAGGGAAGCAATGATTATTATTCATTTGTACTATAAATATGGATTGTTGCTGCCCTTCTTTTCCGTTCATCCTTCTTTCCCTTCTTCCTTCTCTCCTTTTTCTTTCAAAATAGATTTTTGTAATGAAAAATTAATACATGCATGTGATAACTACAAATAGTATAAAAGTAATTACAGTAAAAGGCAAATGTCCCTTTCCCCTGGCACCCCCAGTTACCCACCTGGAGGTCAACTCTGTTACATCCAGAAATAGTCTGTGCATATCCAAGTATAGACATATATACGCACACACACACACACCCTCCCCCACTTTGTTACACAAATGTGAAGGTACTTATGTACTATATTTGAAACTTTCCTTTTTTTTTTTTTAAACTTAACACTGTATCTTGTTTCATAACATTATATCGATATATAGGTCTGGCTCATTTTTTGATTACTCTTTAGAATTGCATGATATGGCTGTAACTTCATTTGTTTAATCCGTGCTTCATGTTGGACAATTAGGTTGTTTACAGTATTGCAGTGAATATAGTGAATAGTCTTGTGTATACATCTTTGCTCCTATATGCAAGTGTATCTATAAGATTAATGGACTTTATTTTTTAAATTAAGAGAAATGTATACTGCCTTTGTCTTATATCCTAGTTCTCATTAGGTGTGGGATCAAAATGTGTTACTCTAGTAGCTAGCACACATCCAGGGTTCTCCGCGTGGGTGTTGTGCGTCCTGAATCTTCAGGGTGTGCTACTGGAACAACTTGTGGAGCACAACTGGGTATTCCTCAGAGCGGGTCTAGCTTTAGCTCCATAATCTATAACAAGACAGCTGGCTATTGTCAGTGACCTCAAGCTTCTATTTTAAAGGCTTAATCTTGTTAGGCTCTCTAAAATTTTGCTTATTTTTTTTTTTTTTATTGAGTAGAAAACATTTCTCAGGTTGCTAAGGTGGAATAAAATCCACTTACCTGTGTGTTAAATGATTTAGTAAGCTGGCACCATTCATCGCCAAACGTCGAACCCCCAAGATTCAAGAGCAGTACCGCAGGATTGGAGGCGGGTCCCCCATCAAGATATGGACTTCCAAGCAGGGAGAGGGCATGGTGAAGCTGCTGGATGAATTGTCCCCCAACACAGGTATGGTGTTTCTTCATTAACATGTAACTAGATTAGTTCTTTCAAAGTAGTTATGAAATTCAAAACAGTAGTAGAAGCTAAATGCTTCATATGTACTGTCAACTCGATTTGTGGTGTTTCTATGTAATACATGGTCATTTAATTTAGGTCTCCAGGCATCCCTTGACCTTTAGCCTTTGCTATGACTTCTTACATTACAAGTGAAAAAAACCTAAGGATTTGGGACATGAGTTTCAAAAGGAAGTTCGAGATGTTTGTTAAGTTGAAGTAGAGTATAAGGCATAAGCAACATACCATAAATAAAAGATGCATATATCATTATGCTGGAAAGAAATCTTTGAGAAATAAATTGAGTCTGCTGCTATTGCCTTTTCTTTCTGGTTGGACAGCTAATTAGAATATTTAGAGCAGTATTAGCTAGCTATCGTGGAAGCCACAAGACACTAAGCAACTTGCAGTGATGCTGTCAGCTCTCAGGATACCACCATAATAAGGTATTGAAGGTCCTCGATGGATGTGGCACCAAAAAGAGGATTGTGCACATCTGAGAACCTCTATCCAGAATAATAGTGTGCAGAGTGAACCACTAAATGCATGGATGAAGTAAAAATGCCGTATTAAACACATTGAAGACACAATTGATTGCAGGACAGCCTGCTTTTGTATAATACTAAGACACAAAAGCACTACCAGTTAATTTTAAGACACCATCTATTGTAAACTGGACTGATATGAGAAATGTTAAAACCAAAAACATGTACATCTTAGGACACATGAATTACATTCATTGCAAATATATCTTAGAGCTTTGGGATCAGGATAGGTGTGTGACAGTGGGAACCCTCAAGGAGAACAGCTCCACTAGGCAGGACCAAAAGGGGCATTTCACTCTTTCCTGACATCACTGAGCAAGCGTCCACTCCAGCGGCTCTCAGAATCCACTGGTTCCCATGGCACAAAATAACAAAGGGTCCTGGCCCCTTCTCAGATCACCTCACATGGAAAATCGTTCAACTGTGCTTCTGCATATTTGGCTTGCTTCCTGCTTTCAGCTGTGGCTCAAGGGCATTTCTTATGCAGTTCCTCCGTGCATGCCGCAGTGCACCTTTAAAATGTCAGCCCTCCATTCACACCTACTTGATAGAGAACAAACTCCAGTCATTAACAGTTTATCCCGATCAAAGATTTCTTGTGGGCCTGGCGTGGTGGCTCATGCCTGTAATCCCAGCACTTTGGGAGGCCAAGGCGGGTGGATCACTTGAGCCCAGGAGTTCAAGACCAGCCTGAGCAACATGGTGAAACTCTGTCTACACACACACACACACACACAACAACAACAAAAATAACAACAACAAATTAGTCAGGCACGCCTGGAGGCCCAGCTATTTGTGAGGCTAAGGTGGAAGGATCGCTTGAGCCAGGGAGGTTGAAGCTACAGTGAGCCACGATCACGCCATTGCACTCCAGCCTGGGCAACAGAGTGAGACCCTGTCTCAAAAAAAAAAAAAGGTCTATTATGAACCAGATTTGCAATTGCTATGGTGTCTTCAGTGGGAAGAGGAGGCAGAAAGGTTCTCATTTTTCCTGTTTTTATGTTACTGTAGTACCCATCATTATAAAGAGCGCTAGTAAGCATGGGGGTGGGGTACGCCCCAGCTGTTTGGGAGGCTGAGGCAGAAGGATTGCGTGAGCCCAGGAGTTGAAGTCCTGGTAGAGTTGTCAGACTTGAAAAAGGAATAGACAGAAGGGCATCCTTCCCGCCACCTCCTGTCTCTGTGGCGAGGCTGTTGGGGGTACCTCTCCATCTCCTTCTCATTTCTCCTCCCTTCTGATCCTTTCTTTCCTATACAGTTGTAAAGTTTACTTTTGAACTATGTCTATTCATTTATTTCTATTAAGAAAAATTCTCTTTAGGCCAGAAAATGTGATAATTGCAAACAGATAAACACGTTTCATGCTGTCATTTTTTAGGGAAGTGGTTGTTGCTTGGTAGCCAGTGTGGACATTTTGAGACTTGCGCTGGTTTCATAGAATTGACCAGTTAACTAAGACAGTGAGTTATATCAGGAAGTGGTTTCATGTAGTTGCATTGCAGAAATGTAGAGAATAGATACGGAAATAGATGAGAAGTGTAATCATGTGATGGAAAGTCTAAATCTCAAATATGCTATACAAATTGTAGTTTAACTGTTTGGCTTGTAACTGCTTTTAGTGACTCATGAAATAATTCTGTTCTTTACCGGATGCAGTGTGGCTGGAGTATAGGTTCTTTTCTCTGATGGTGCTGGCTTCCCTGCTCTGGTTCAGGCAGTTTACTTACTTCACTAAGCCTCAGCTAGAAAATGGGGTTGGTAATAGAACCCAACTCCTAGATCCTTGTGAAAATTAAATGAGATAATCCTGAAAGGCATTAACATGACAAAAATTCAATATACGTGAGCTTTTTAATTCATGATTAGCACAGGGTTCAGATCTGATACAAATTAAGAAGCATTTGCTACGTATTTCAAACTTTTCTTTCAAAAAATCATGTACAAATCGGACATTTGAACTATTGTGTATGCTAAATTAATGAAGTTTTGCCGTTTAAAAATCTAGTTTCTCTATCTTTTAGTAGTTCTTGCTGAAGACTGTTTACATTAGACGGCTGCTGTGAGGGTACCTAGGCTAGGCCAGTGAGTGATGTGTTTTGGGCTCACTCTGGCCAGATGTGCCCATGAGATGTGGCGCTGGTTAACATCAGAGATGCTCCTTCCCGTCCCTGCGTCCTTCCAGGGACAGCCAGCCTCTGTGTGAAACCCACCCTGGTGGACAAGGGGCCTCCGTGAACACTGTTTGTTGGTTCTTCAGGATATGCGCAGTTGGAGAGTACATTGCCGCTTTTTCTACAATATGTGTTTACAGGTTGTCTTTAGAAAGCATTTAGAAAACATTATCAGTTCTTTCTAGGGTATTTTCCTCTGTCTCACTTTAAAATGTGGCCACCTGCTGTGTCTTTATCTGCAAGGGCAGCCCCTCTACCTCTTAGTGTGCACGATTTGAGGCACTCCCAGACTCCAGGCATTTAGACTGTAATCTTCAGATACTGGACAGGTGAAAAGAAAATGTGAGAAGCTAGTTGACCTGCAGCACTGGGGATGTCATTCTGATCATTGTATTGTTTCAAAGTAGATTCGAAAACAGTTTCCACTTGCTTGCTAAACCTCAGCTCAGATCACCAAGAGTTGCTTCAAGGGTTTTGATGGTATTGTAATAGTTGGCAGTTTTTAGCACAAAGCACATAATCTTTGAACAATTAAGTCATTTGGAGTTTGCTTATGGGATCATGTCCTCTGATATATATATATATATATATATTTTTTTTGAGACGGAGTCTCGCTCTGCCGCCCAGGCTGGAGTGCAGTGGCTGGATCTCAGCTCACTGCAAGCTCCGCCTCCCGGGTTCACGCCATTCTCCTGCCTCAGCCTCCCGAGTAGTTGGGACTACAGGCGCCCGCCACCGCGCCCGGCTAGTTTTTTGTATTTTTTAGTAGAGACGGGGTTTCACCGTGTTAGCCAGGATGGTCTCGATCTCCTGACCTCGTGATCCGCCTGTCTCGGCCTCCCAAAGTGCTGGGATTACAGGCTTGAGCCACCGCGCCCGGCCACCCTCCTCTGATATATTTTAATTGCTAGTGATCATTTTATGCAAGGCAGCATGAAATTCGTGGCCTGAAAATGGACAGAGCACTAAAAATGATTCAGTTTTACTTCCTTCCTCTCTTTTGCAGTCCCCAACCAGAGACTACTGAGTCCAACCAGTCTTTCTGTGCGCACATGTGCTTCTCTCGCCTAACGGCATTCTGCTTCTCCCTTGGGAATGTGTTCCATTGGCTCATAGTTCTCTGGGTCAAGTTAGGAGGAATGTCATCCTTGTATATATCTATGTTTAAATGAGATAAACTCCCGTCCTTTCCTTCACTTTAACCTAAATGTTTCTTGTGGCAATTTATGTCACATTCATAGTTGCAGCCCCTTGCTAATGCTTTGGACAGTAACATTATCATGGTCTTATTATTACCTGACATTCATGTAGTGATTCTCACTGTCATCCCTGAGTGTAAGTTATATGTAATCCTATGAAAAGACAAGGAAACAAGACTAAGTAAGTTTAGGAAACTTGTAGTTTTATGACTTTATACATGCTTAAGCAATTATGTGGTGTGGATGTTTTTGAACCATAGGAAAGGAAGATGCGGGAAGATAAAGAAGATAGAGGAGAGTATTAGTGAAAGGACAGGGAAGGGACAGGGAAAGAACACGAGGATATGCATCAGGCATGGGCCATTTAGGTACCAAGAACGATGACTTTCAATCCCATGTGGCACCTCCAAATTAAGCACTGTTTTATATGTGTAATGAGGAGAATCATTTTAATCATTTATTATCAATGAATTTTTTTACATATCCAAGAACTCTTTCTTTTTTTATGTATAAACGAGTTGGCCTGGGGTTTCAGGGAACTGGGTAATAGGAGTCGGGTGAGGGGGCTTCTGGGAGGAGTGAGAAGCATGGGTCGGGAGACCCAGGCTCTAATTCCAGCTCGACCACCTGCAAGGTATGACTTTGGGTAGTTCAGTTAACCTTCAGAGTCTCTGTTTCCTTATCTGAAAAATCAGGTTTAAATGATTGAAAAAAATATGGCCGGGCGCGGTGGGTCACGCCTGTAATCTCAACACTTTGGGAGGCCAAGGCGGGCGGATCACAAGGTCAGGAGATCGAGACCATCCTACCTAACATGGTGAAACCCCATCTCTACTAAAAATACAAAAAAATTAGCCAGGCATGGTGGTGGGCGCCTGTAGTCCCAGCTACTCAAGAGGCTGAGGCAGGAGAATGGCGTGAACCCGGGAGGCAGAGCTTGCAGTGAGCCAAGATCGAGCCACTGCACTCCAGCTTGGGTGGCAGAGCGAGACTCCGTCTCAAAAAAAAAAAAAAAAAAAAAAAAAAAATGCCCAGTGTCTACCATAGTATCTGGTATGCAAGAGGAAGTTATATTTTAGAATCAGTGTTGTTTTTTCCTCCTTTCTCTTGAGACTTTCGTAGGCCAGCCAAGAACAGAGAATTAGGAAGAGAAGTTTGAGTTTTAAAACCCACTGTGCAGTAAAGATGTGTGGGTGGGGTGCTGATCCCAGAAAATTGTGATTAAAAGTCCACATACCAGCTGAAGAGTGGATATGATCCAAGGAATATGCTAAACTTGCCTCCACCGTCAGTGCCATAGGAAATTACATGAACTGTTCTTTGTTCTGGGCATTGCATTATGTTCGGTGACTCTGAGGAATCTATATAAAGATTAACACTTTCTCCTTTCCACGTGTGCTTCCTAATAGCCCCTCACAAATACTATATTGGATTTCGGTACGTCCATCCTTTAACAGAAGAAGCAATTGAGGAGATGGAGAGAGATGGCCTAGAAAGGGCTATTGCTTTCACACAGTATCCACAGTACAGCTGCTCCACCACAGGTAAGGGCATCTCTCTGCCAGTAGAAAGGTAGATACGGTGCTGGCAAAAATAACCAAGGAGTGTAAGTACTACTGGAGGGAAGGATGAATCATTTGCAATTTGAATGGCAAATTCAACCTGTCTTCTTTAAACACGAGAGTTCAGGTCAGTCCATTTGAAATCTCATGGTCCATCTGTCCCTTGAATTATTGGCCACTTGGCTGGGAATTACAAATGGGGGGTGGTAGGCAGTAGCTGTAAGTGTTCAGTGCTTTAATGCCATTGCATAATGGATCCGTAATGAACCTTAAGGCTCTTTTTAGGTTTGTGTGATAAACCTTTTTATGGCTACCCAGATTTTCTTACTGATGTAGCAAATATTGTAACTGCATTTTAAAAGCAAAGATGCCCATACAACATGGGAAATACTGGTATTTTATTGCTGTTGTTGTGCTTCAGTTATGAGTTGGTTGCTGGTAAAACTAAAGCCCAGTTTGGGGTTCCCTTTGCAAAATTTTCTGTGTTCTTGATTTTGGAAAATGTTACTGCTTCTTGTTTTCTGTATATTTAACTGGAGCTGGGGAATAATCGGTGTTTGGCAATCTCTGTATCATTCATTGTAGGCAAAGCTGCTGCTGTCACCCACAGATACATTTGTTTGCATTCCCTTGCAAGGACTGAGGTCAGCACAGTCTTAGTCCCAAATAGCTTTCGGATATTAATGTTTATAATTTCTATAACCATAAGGAGAATCAAAAGGCTATTGAAAAAAGTCAAAGCTTGTTATGTGCCTCAAATATTTGTTCAGAGAACCCATTAAAATGCCTGAGTTCTCAGATACCCTCAAGAGTTGGAATTATCATTTCTTTTCTTTCTTTTTTTTCTGAGACAGAGTCTCGCTCTGTCATTGCAACCTCCATCTCCAGGGTTCAAGCGATTCTCCTGCCTCAGTCTCCCGAGTAGCTGGGATTACAGGCACGCACCATCACACTCAGCTGATTTGTGTATTTTTGGTAGAGATGGGTTTCACCATGTTGGCCAGGCTGTTCTCAAACTCCTGGCCGCAAGTGATGCACCCGCCTCAGCCTCTAAAGCGCTGGGATTACAGGCGTGAGCCACCGCACTCGGCCTGAATTATTATTTTTCTTTTTGAAATGCACCACTACAACTTCAAAATGTCTGGTCATATGTTACTGGAGAAGGAGTCAGATTTTATGAATTTTTAAGCTCTACTTTTGCCTTGTTTTAAGAAATACACCTCAATATGTAAATGGCTGCTGTCACAATTAGATAAATTAAGAAGTTTGTTATTTACATGACAGGAGATTGACTATGATTTGTATTTCAGGGCTGGCTCTAACAAGTGACAGTGTATGCAAACCTTCAGCATGTGCTTAGTTTTCCTTGAGTGTATCTCATAGAAGGACAGGTACATCCATCTATGCAAGTTGTGGAAGGCTTAGGGAAGTACATGAATTCTTCGAGGCCACTCAGGTGCTGTTTATCTGTTGGATCTTTTAGACATGCACTATTGTGGCAGAGCCAGCGTATGTCTTCATCACAAACGAATTTCTCAGTCACATTTTTCTCCTTCTTAATGACTTCTTTGGATTGTTTGTTGAATATTTCCACACAACCTGAAAGAGCTAATGCCAGATGCTCCCTTACACGTATGTCCAGATGCCCTCTTGCACATATGAAAATGATATCCACCTGTGAAGTGTGGTCTGTAATGTGAATATGGTGGTGACAACTTTTTGATTTCTGGAGAGCTTGTTTTTGAACCTTGAATGGAGTCCATTTGAATTCTTCCTTACTCTACTCACCAAAATTGAACCTGTTTCTCGTTTTGGAAGTTGAGCCTTAGTCTGAGAGTATATTTGATTTAAAATATGCTCTCTCCTAACATTTTAAATTGGAAAGCTAACTAATAGTTCTTATAGTTAGAGAGCCCAGTGGGTTGGTGATGGAAAGCATAGAAATGTTTCGGGACTTGCCCTTTGTTAAGATTGAGGAAGAGGCTGTGTGTTAGACTTGGTTTCATAGGATTCGGGTGTGACCCCAATGCTAACTCCCCTAGACAGGAAAAGGTTGCATTGGGTTGACACCATCTGCCTTCGTTTTGGCTTTGAATTTTCATGATTTCCATCTCTCTCTTATAGAATATAAGTTTATTAGATTACTTGTAACGATTTGGTGTCCATTTACTTTATTCTAGGGAATGAGAGCTCACAGGAACCTCAATAATTTTCTCTCCTTATCATGAGGCCATTAATAACAATAGTTATGCTGGGTGCGGTGGCTTACCCCTGTAATCCCAGCACTTTGGGAGACCCAGGCGGGCCAATTACCTGAGGTTGGGAGTTCGAGAGCAGCCTGACCAACATGGAAAAACCCTGTCTCTACTAAAAATACAAAATTAGCCGGGCATGGTGGAACATACCTGTAATCCCAGCTACTCAGGAGGCTGAGGCAGGAAAATCACTTGAATCTGAGAGGTAGAGGTTGCAGTGAGTCGAGATCGTGCCATTGCACTCCAGCCTGGGCAACAAGAGCAAAACTCCGCCTCACAAACAAACAAACAATAGTTACAAAGCTTTTATCGTAACATGGAAAATATTTATCTCTTAATATTAAGTAAAGATGCTCAAAATACTCAGCTTGCAGAATTGCATATGTATTAAAAATTACAACTTTGTAAAACAAAACATCTATAAAGAAAAAAACCATATTAGAGTAAAACAATGACTGTAATTAGCATGCTGGGATAATGGTCAGTTTCTTTTTTCCTTTCTTCCCCATCCCATACGTTTCCTATAATGGGATTGATAACCTTTGTAACTGAAAAAAAAAAAACATACTTTTTTTTTTTTTTTTTTTTTTTTTTTTTGTGACGGAGTTTCGCTCTTGTTGCCCAGGCTGGAGTGCAATGGCGTGATCTTGGCTCACCGCAACCTCCGCCTCCTGGGTTCAAGCGATTCTCCTACCTCAGCCTCCCGAGTAGCTGGGATTACAAGTGTACTATCAGACTTGGCTAATTTTGTATTTTTTAGTAGAGACAGGCTCTCTCCATGTTAGTCAGGCAGGTGTCAAACTCCCGACCTCAGGTGATCCACCAGCCTCGGCCTCCCAAAGTACTGGGATTACAGGCGTGAGCCACTGCGCCTGGCCAACATACTTTCAATTGTAAGACTTGGTCCCTGCAAATATGACTGCTTATATTTCATAACTCTACAGTCATCTTGTTTTTCACTAGAACTGACATCAATAATCTTTGAAAGTCCATTGAAATTGATTGCTTTTTAGTGATCTTCATTTGCAGGGTAGTTAAATCTATATGCATTTTAGAGTATTGAAATGATTGTAATTAGACTGATTCAGTATAGAAGCAGTTACCTGCTTTGAACTTATATATACTACCTTTACGAGTCTGTTTTTTATTTTCACCATAATCAGAATGCATCTACTAAGTGGCCTCTGTATATTTCAGGCAGCAGCTTAAATGCCATTTACAGGTACTATAATCAAGTGGGACGGAAGCCCACGATGAAGTGGAGCACTATTGACAGGTGGCCCACACATCACCTCCTCATCCAGGTAAGCCAGTAATTGCCAGCTGCCTGTCACCCCAGCATCTAGTGTGTATCAGCTTCTTGTCCCTTCTGGGTTTATGGATGTCCTTCTGAGCCTTACTGTTCCTTTGCTTAAATTGTGTGTTAGGGATTAAATAAAAGTATTATATTCTTGATTTATTATGAAAAGAGAAAATACATTTAAAGATTAAAATGATTAGAGTCTTCTTTCTTCAGATTAATGCTATTAGTCCCAAACCATAACAGAACAATATTTTGAGTTTTGTGTTTCCTATGACCCGAAGAGCATTAAAGATTGTGCATGGTGTTTCAGTTAACTCGCATTTGTAGGCTGAATGACTGACCAACGAATTAAATTTTCTATTTTCTAAATCCTTTAAAATGTCAAAAGATTTTTAAAATGTAAAAGTAATATATCTACATTTTCTGAGACATGAAAATAAATTGAATGTTCCAATAAAGTTTTACATATTAAATTTCATATTTCTTCTGTACAATTTATATATATATATAATATTTTTATTAACAGATGCTTGATTTTAGGAGAATAAATTAAAATTACAGTTCTAAAGTTAATAGCTTTGAACTGATGTTACTATATTCTTTTCTGCCTGTCAAAAATGAGAGGGCAATTGGTAAAATATTGCCCTAAATTAGGCAAATATAATTTTGTTCTGCTAGTAGAAGTTTCTGCTTTTGAGTTATTTTAGGTAGGGGAAATATTAAGTCATTTAGATTTTATCCATTTTATTTTTCACTCCCTGAACCTTTTCTGACTCGGCAAAAAACCCTACTAACAGCTTTAGAAGCCTGGTGTCACTTAAATCTGTGACCACTAGATGGTGCTAGACATCATTGAAATCAGGCCAGCTCTCCCCAGAGCAGTGTTCCTTAGGCATATAAAGAGTTAACACTTGGGTTGAAATCCAATTTTAAGTAAAAAGTGAAGGAGCTTACCCTTAGGGGTGGGTGTAGTTGTGGTCTCTGTGTGCACCATTGACGGCTGTGTTGCTGGGTCCAGCCAGTACTGCCTGAAGCACCAGCGGCCTGGGTTTTGCTCTGGGAGGCCTGCGATTGGAAAGGAGGGGGGTTTCAGGTCAGCATTGACATGTGGTAGCAGGGAATGGAGGGATCTGCACAGCATCTGCCTGCCCTGATCAAGTGAGTAATTAGATTTGCATTAAAATTCAGCCCTTTGAAAAGGGGGGAAGCAGAACGATGGAAAGGTCTCTTAACTGAGGAAGTCTCTGTTCATAAAATGAAAGGGAATTTTAGAGGCATTTATCCGCCCTCCTAGATGGTGTGATTGAAGGCTCTGAGAGGCTCGGTGCCTCTTTCATTCTGCAGAGAGGTTGCGCCTGGAAAATACCGCAGATGGGTTTTAGGTGATTTAAATAGCACTTCTCCTTACCCATGGCGCCTCAGTTTTGAAGACGGCTTAGAGGCTGTTGCAGGCCGTATGATTTGTGTTTTTACTTGCAGCTTTGCAAGCCAAGAAAAGAAAAGCACTAAGCTTTGGATATGATATGACATTTTTGGAAACCAGAAAACAAAACCCTAAACTAAAACAAAAAATATAGTTTAAAACTACAAATTCTGTTTCGAATCCACATTTCTACTTGGCATAGGTAGTGATTGCTCCAAATAGCCATTTTATTACTGTTTTCTCTAATATTGGTATTTATCTAGCTGTTGGATTAATTGGGGCAAATTTATGTTCTAGACTCCTGTATAAACCTTGCAGTGGGCCTCCTTATCTAGGCTGAGGCCCAAAAATAATCCTTTCTGAGCATCCTTAGTTTCCAAACACTGCAAAGACCAGAAAATATTGGTTTTGTTTGTATCTAATCCTATCACATTTACTGAGAATTTGCATTATAAATTCTGAAAAGGGAACTGAACTTTAGGTACCATTTTATGCCTTAGGATATTTATTTGCCAAATTTCAAGAGTTCTGGAAAGATTAATAATATCTCAATATTTATTAGGGAATAGTTTGCTTATCCCATAGTTTTCACTGACCACTGATATATCAAAATACCAACAAGTGCAGATTTATATGTTTCTGATCAATTGTCCTTTATAGTTTTTAAAAAGTTACAAAGGACAATTGGGAAATAATTTGAGATATGCAGAAAAGTTACAAGATTAAGAACAGTATAAGGAACTCTCATCTACTCTTTTACCTATGTTACTGTGTTATTAGTATTTCGAGACAGGGTTTCACTCTGTTGCCCAGGCTGGAGTTGAGTGGAAGGATCATAGCTCACTGCAGCCTTAACCTCCGGGGCTCAAGTGATCCTCCTGCCTCAGCCTCCAGAGTAGCTGACCACAGGCATGTGCCATTATGCCCTGCTAATTTTTAAAAATGTTGTGGAGATTAGGTCTTTCCATGTTGCCCAGGCTGGTCTTGAACTTCTGGGCTCCAGCAATCCTCTCGCCTTGGCTTCCTAAAGTGCTGGGATTACTGGTGTGAGCCACTGCGTCTGGCCTATTGATGTGTTATTAACATGTATCTCCTACTTGCTTTATCATTCACATGCCCTGTGTGTGTATGTATGTGTGTGTCTCTGTGTTTGTATATACATGATTTTTTTCTGACCCTTTTGAGAATAAGTTATGCATATATCATCATCCTCTAAACCCAAACACTTAAATGTGTGTTTTCTAAAATCAGGAATATTCTCTTACATAACCACAGTACAACATTCAACTTCAGTAAATTTAACATCAATATTTAAACTTTTCCTTAATCTACATTCATATTCTGATTTTGTCAGTTGACCCATTTGTGTGTTTTGTAGCATTTTTTATAAGCTAAATGACAGAATGATTAAAGTATAAGATGAAAGAAAGCCCCTTCAGTTCTGGTATTTCAGCACCTATCGACGTGAATCAAAGTGCCGGCTAAACGAAGGGAGCTCCCTGGTCTGGTAGACAGAGGTTTGGAGGGAGAGGCAGGAACCGTGTTCTTTCCCAAGTTCCACAGATGTGACTGAATGAGCCCCTAAGTTTACCACATCTTTCCTCACTCTGTGAATTTAATGGGTGGGTATCACCTATCATCTGTTGTTGTGAAGGTTTTTATAAAACTTAACTTGATGGGGATACGAGGCTCAGAAGAAAATGTTATAAAAATAGAACAGTATTTTCTTATTTCCCTCCTATTCCTGACTAATGTATTTAATGTGGTATGTCTGAAAGCCAAACTAAGGAGGCTTTAGAAAGACGCTGTAAGCTGTTTTCCTGCTAACAGAGCAAATGAGAAGTCTTAAAACAACTTCTCCTTCCCATCTGTGTTTCCTTTCCATCTGGAAGCGTGCCCTGTCCTTCCCGAGGGGAAGCAGATCCACAGCCCGCATTTGCGGTGAGCCATTAGCGAGCTTTAGAAGTTTCCCAGCAAATTCCCTAGGCCCCCTGAAACCGTTATGATCCATTTTGATGATAAACCAATGCTGAGAGGCTGGACTGTTTGCAATTTTTTTAAAAAGAGAGTTCTGATTTTTTGAGGGTTGCTCTGAGATTTTTTGGTGTAGGCTTCATTTAAAAAATATTTTCTTTTTCCTTCCATTTCTTTCTCCCCTTCCTCTTTATCCTCCTTTCTTATTACTCCCTCAGTGCTTTGCAGATCATATTCTAAAGGAACTGGACCATTTTCCACTTGAGAAGAGAAGCGAGGTGGTCATTCTGTTTTCTGCCCACTCACTGCCGATGTCTGTAAGTACGAACATTTTCTTGGATGACCTAGTGACAGAGGATTGGGTGATTTCATTTGCTAAATGTGTGAAATGGGTCCAGCTTCCATTATGTCCTAAGCCCAGTGCAAGAATGAATTCTCAAATCTCAGACTTGGTGCTAACGTAACTAGCCTCACTTCTTAAAACCTCATAACAATGAATCCAAATTATAATAATGTAAGTAGATCTTTTCCTCTTTTCTTTTATTTTTTGAAACAGAGTCTTGCTGTGTTGCCCAGGCTGGAGGGCAGTGGCGCAATCTCGGCTCACTGCAACCTCCGCCTCCTGGGCTCAAGCAATTATCTTGCCTCAGCCTCCCAAGTAGCTAGGATTACAGGCACCCACAACCATGCCTGGCTAATTTTTTATATTTTTAGTAGAGACTGGGTTTCACCATGTTGGCCAGGCTGGTCTCAAACTCCTGACCTTAGGTGATCCACCCACCCAGGCCTCCCAAAGTGCGGGGATTACAGGTGTGAGCCCCACCACACCTGGTTCCTCTTTTCTTTAAAACGATAACTTGAAGATATATTCATATATAAGACTTTCTAATAAGTGGGACAGTTAAGAGAAGGCTGCTTTTGCCTGCCCTGTCGGCAGAGCTCAGCTTGATGTTTCTGTGTGTTGAGTGGAAGGGTCTCCATTCAGACAAAGCGCTCTCAGTCCCATGCTTTTGGATGGACTTATTAGGGGCTGTTTGAATTCCAGGCAGCCATTGCAGTTTGCTAAGACTCAGGACCACATTTTTGCAAGTGAATATAGAGGATCAAGTTGGGGTCTGGCTGCTCCTTAGTTCATCATATTACTCTAGGCTATTCATCCAGATGCTACAATCTGTGCCATAGCTGTTATATTGTTGGAAACAAGAATGATCAAGCTAGTGTACTGTATGATATATAGAAGTGCTTGGAATAAGTAACCAGTTTCATCTGCTCAGAACTGGCATTGTATCCTAAAACCAGTGCTTTCCAAGCCAGAGAGGTGGATAATTACATCTTCATAGGTGTGATTGAGGTTTTAACAACGTCGGGAATGGAGCCAGCCTCAGTGTCTGGGCCACGCTTGTAACTGGGCCTTACCGCCCCCTGGTGGCCACTAGGGCCAAGCCCTTGCAGATCCTCTACTCATTTTCTCTGCTGTGGGTGGGCGGTAGGAGGCCCTGGAGATAAATTCCTTTCTTCTGGAAGCCGGCCTATTTTAATGGGTTTGCTTTTCCTTTTCTGGTGTCATACAGTCCTTTTCACATGTCCATCCTCCTGCCGCCTCATCCTATGTAAGGTGAGACCTCGCCTGAGATGCCAGAAGGGAAGCTCTTGAACCAGCCCAGAGCAAACACATTTGTTTGTTTGTTTGTTTGAGACGGGGTCTCGCTCTATTGCCCAGGCTGGAGTGCAGTGGTGCGATCACAGCTCACTGTAGCCTCCACCTCCTGGGTTCAAGCGATTCTCCTGCCACAGCCTCTTGAGTACCTGGGACCACAGGCACACACCACCACGGCTGGCTAAATTTTGTATTTTTAGTAGAGACAGGGTTTCACCATGTTGCCCAGGTTGGTCTCAATCTCAAGTGATCCACTCACCTTGGCCTCCCAAAGTGCTGGGATCACAGGCATGAGCCACTGTGCCCAGCTGAAACCCATTTTTGTATGTGGGGACTCCAGGTGCTGCCTTGCCTCCTCTCACCCTGGCCTTGCTTCCTTATTCTTTAACCTGGGGGCAGAGCACGCTGCCTCCAGGTTATTTTGCTGGTCGAGCCTTGTTGTGGGACCGGGAAATGCTGTGATGTCATAAGGATAAGTCAGGTATGGGGAGGACAGTTGGAGAGGTGAGAAAGAACAATGATCTAGCACACTCTTCTCTTCCCCTACGTTCACTTCTGACAACTTTTTAAACTTTTTATTTTGAAGAAATTTTTAGACTTACAGAAAACTGGTGAGGAGAGTGCAGAGTTACCCTCTACTCAGCCTCTCCCGGTGTTGACATCTTACATAGCCATTGTACAGCTACCGACACTGAGACCAGTGTTAACATCTTACACAGCCATTGTACCGCTACCGGCACTGAGACCAGTGTTAACATCTTACACAGCCATTGTACCGCTACCAACACTGATACTTGGCTTCTCTTTCATCACCTTGATTTTATTTGTTTATTTATTTATTTTTGGTACAAGATCTCACTCTGTCACTCAGGCTGGAGTGCTGTGGTGCAGTCACGACTCACTACAGCCTCAACCTACCAGACTTGGGTGAGCCTCTCACCTCAGCCTCCTGAGTGGCTCGGACTACAGGTGCACAGCACCACACCTGGCTAATATTAGTATTTTTTGAAGAGACAGGGTTTCGCCATGTTGCCCAGACTTGTCTCGACCTCCTGGACCCAGGTGATCCACCCACCTCAGTCTCCCGAAGCACTGAGATTATAGGTGTGAGGCACCACGCCCCGCCACACGTTGATATTTTTGAGGAGTCATTTTTAGGATGTCAGTTGTTTTGTGGTACGTCCCTCCATCTGGGTTTGTCTGAAGTTTTCTCATGATTAGATTGCAGTTATGCATCATTGGCAAGAACCCACAGGGGTGTGGGGCCTTCCTCTGTGCATCACACCCGGGGGTCTGTGATGTCAATGTGCTTTTCTACTGGTGATGTGTGATCCCTGGTCACTTGTTTAAGGGTGTGTCTGCTGTGTTGATCCATCCTAAAATTACTATTTTTCTCTTTGTAATTAAAAATATCATGGAGGAGATACTTTGAGACAATATAGAGATTCGGTTATTCCTTATACTTTGCCCCTAATCTTAGCATCCATGGGTAGATCATGTTTGTAGCAATTACTGCATTGCTGTCCTATTGGCAACTTTGTGTTTCCTTCATTCCTTCTACATTTATGCCTCCCATGGCTTTTAAACAGACCAGTAGTAATAATCATAAAATAGTTTGTCAGTGTATATATGTAATTGTTTTTTTTTGAAATGGAGTCTTGCTCTATCGCCCAGGCTGGAGTGCAATGGGGCAATCTTGGCTCACTGCAACCTTTGCCTCCTGGGTTCAAGCAATTCTTCTGCCTCAGCCTCCCGAGTAGCTGGAATTACAGGTGTGTGCCACCCCACCCGGCTAATTTTTGTATTTTTAGTACAGACAGGGTTTCACCATGTTGGTCAGGCTGGTCTCGAACTCCTGACCTCAGGCAATCAGCCCGCCTCGGCCTCCCAAAGTGCTGGGATTACAGGCATGAGCGACTGTGCCCGACCTGTCAGTATACTTCATTTCACCAGTATTCTTTGAGCACCTGCTATATTCCAGTCACTGTTTCCAGCCATATCATAGGGTATGGGAATGAAGAAAACAGAAAAATCTTTGTCTGCAGAGAGTAGGGAGAAAAGGTAATAAACATAATACATACGAAAATGGTATGGTAGATTAGCATATAATAGATGTTATAGAAGAAAATAAAGCCAGGTGAGGGCTAGGGAGTCAGTACACAGTGAATGTTTAAAGCATTAAAATTTGCATTGAAAATTTTCAAAGGTATTAACAAGGGATCGTGTATGAAACATTTGCTGTGCACAGAGTGTTTGCCTGTTGTCCATTGTTGCAGGAAGGGTGGGGAGAGAGGAAGTGGAAGGTGTGGGTCATACTCTTGGAGGTGCCCGTAACCTGCACTGATGTGCTGCTGCTTTCCTCCTCTAATTCCACCAGGGTTTACTGTAAATCCAGCCGTTCTGTACATTGTCCGTGCAGCACTGTTTCAGTTCCTGTGGTGAAATCAGCCACTCACATGACCACCACGTAGAAGTTCCCATCCTGCCCAGCTTCTCTGTGTCCTCTTCGTATTTCAGATGAGGGAGAGAGATCCATCCTCCTTAGTTAGATCTTGTGAGTCTCCCATGAATAACATGGAACATAGAATTCTCCACCCTCTTAGGGACGTTAGAGATGACTGAGTGCGGTGTTTTTCTTTGGCTGATGATGAAGTGGAACTAAGGAAGTCTGGTGATTGAACTCAGACCGTGTCATCATTGGTGCAGGAGACGGAAAGGGAAGACTTTGTTCCAGCGCTCACACCATGTCAGCACATAGTCAGAGGCCCTCGGGGCCTTCCCAGTGTTAATGACTGAACACCCATTGTGTCTCCACTGCAGGTGGTCAACAGAGGCGACCCATATCCTCAGGAGGTAAGCGCCACTGTCCAAAATGTCATGGAAAGGCTGGGGTACTGCAACCCCTACCGACTGGTGTGGCAATCCAAGGTAGGTGGCTTCCACACTGGCGGGCAGCCAGCTCTTTTGGTAAAATTTATTTTTAAATGGTTAGATTTGGCTCTTACACATAGACAGGCTCTTCCATAACCTGAAGGCTCACCGTGGGCAGAAAGAATCTGCAAGTGAGTAAGATAGAAGGGGAAATCAAGTGACTTGTGGAGTTCCGTTGGTTTAATATTTTACTTTTAGCTGCAATGACAGAAACTGTTATTTATTTATATTGAGGCAACTACTAGGATTCAAGTTTCCATGTGAAAATATCAAAATCCATTCAAGCAGGTGTAAAGAGTGGCTCTTGCCCCCAGTGGGCAGTGCGTGTGCCCAGGGGGGCAAACGGGTACTACAGACCATCAGGAGGCATGGCCCACTTACACATTCGTCTACCTTTTGCATAGGTTGGTCCAATGCCCTGGCTGGGTCCTCAAACAGACGAATCTATCAAAGGGCTTTGTGAGAGGGGGAGGAAGAATATCCTCTTGGTTCCGATAGCGTTTACCAGTGACCATATTGAAACGCTGTATGAGCTGGACATCGAGTACTCTCAAGTTTTAGCCAAGGAGGTAAATGCACCCATCTGCCTTTATCCCATCATGACTTGTTTTAAAAGGAAATTTTCTCTGCAACTAACTAATGTGTCATTCAAAATATTGTTTACTGTATTTGTTTGCATGTACGGTGTCCTCTTTCTCCTGAATAATAATTCATCTGAGTAATAATCTCAACACATTGAGTAAATTCCATGCAGTAGAAGGGGAAACCTGTGCTTTCCTCAAACCAGGTGCCCCAGGGATCACTGTGGCTGACATCATTTTGTTTGAGTTACTGGGCTACTCGAAAGTAATAACAACTACACTTCTTTAAGAAAAGAGAAATGTACTTCTCACTAATTCCAAAGGAAAACATTTTATTGTTTTATAATTTCTTTTCTTTGCCTAATAGTGACCTTTACTCAGGGCTATTACATGGCTTCTTGTTGGGTGTCAAGGCATATAGGAGTCATTGTCATTTAAGAGAAGAGCGTGAAATGAACGTGGAAGCAATGTGTGGTGTGATTTCCTTGGCCTCTTTTATGCACTCACTCAATTAGCTGTTTGCTGCCGTGTTGTGATCAATCTGATTACTGAAATAACAAATACCATCTTCGGTGTCTTGTAATATGAGATGGATGTGAATTGTCATGCAGGATGGAGAAAAACTATTGTTCATCTATGTCCTGCCTTTTGAGAGCCGGCCTAAAACCTATGTCGAATTTATAGCTTTATTTTTATGGGACGTGTGGAAGCATTGGGACCCAAGACACCCCTTTCTCCCTTTCTGCCAGAGTTTCTGGCCCTGGTCACCCCATGTGTGATAGATGGAGGCCCAGCCTGCAGGAGACTTCACCCTCCCTGGGACTGGGCAGCAGGTGGAGGGCAGGGGGGAGAGTGGGTAGGGGCGGAACTTGAGCCGACACCCGACCCCCATGGAATTTGAATTTCCATGCTGGACATCAATCAGACGTGGGTGAAGTTAGGGAGCACCTAAGTTTCTTGTCAGCGGTTCTGACACAGGATTTGCAGGCAAGTTGTAATTGGCTAAGAAGTGGTTGCAGCATTGTCTATGGATTTTGTTGAAAGATGCCTTCCGTATTTCTCCATGAGCTGGCTAATTGTGAACTTGCTAAAACTTCAGTGAAAATAGAGTTTATACCAATATATTTGGAAAACAATTTTTTATTTTAAATTTGTTATGATTTTATACATTTGCTTAGAGATGAAATCTGGCTCTCTCAACCAGGCTGCAGTGCAGTGGCACAGTCATAGCTCCCTGCAGCCTCAAAATCCCGGGCTCAGGTGATCCTCTCCTCAGCTTCCTAAGTGGCTGGGACTACAGGTACACACGGAATTTCAGTGTGGATATATATTTTTCTAGTTAGTGTATCGCTGACGACTCTCCCATCAACATTGTTGGAGAATGCCCTTCACCAACACTGGTTATTCTGTTGTAACTGACTTTTATATGAAGTTTGAGAATATAGCCTCTTCAGTTGAGATCCATGTGTTTGCTGAATCTCAATGTTTTTCCCATGCCAGTCTCCTGATGTTAATGCTAATCTAAAAGATCAAGTAACTGAGGCCAGGTGTGGTGGTTCACACCTGTAATCTGAGCACTTTGGGAAGCTGAAGCAGGTGGATCACCTGAGGTCAGGAGTTTGAGACAAGCCTGACCAACATGGCGAAACCCTATCTGTACTAAAATACAAAACTTAGCCAAGCGTGATGGTACGTGCCTGTAATCCCAGCTACTCGGGAGGCTGAGGCAGGAAAATCACTTGAATCCGGAAGGTGGAGGTTGCAATGAGCTGAGATTGCACTACTGCACTCCAGCCTGGGCAACAGACCGAAACTCCCTCTCAATAAATAAATAAATAAATAGATAAATAAAAAATATCAAGTAACTGAAAAGCTATCAGAAGAAAAGGGAGAGAGAAGAATCCTAACTACCTGAGTAAATCATGATTAGATTGTTTTCAGTTATTAGGCAGTGGCTATTTTTGGAGCCAGGAGTAGGGATGGTACTGAAACAATCCTCCCATTGTTTTCCTTTAGATTTTTCTCCATAAGAATATATTTCAGGCCAGACTTGGTAGCTCACACATGTAATCCCAGCCCTTTGGGAGGCTGAGGCGGGTGGATCATTTGAGGTCAGGAGTTCAAGACCAGCCTGGCCAACATGGTGAAACGCTGCCTCTACCAAAAATACAAAAATTAGCCAGGCATGGTAGTGGGTGCCTGTAATCTCAGCTACTCAAGAGGCTGAGAAAGGACTCCGTTGAACCCGGGAGTCAGAGGTTGCAGTGAGCCAAGATCGCGCCACTGCACTCCAGCCTGGGTGACAGAGCAAGACTCCATCTCAAAAAATATATATATATGTGTGTGTGTGTGTGTGTATGTGTGTATATATATATGTGTGTGTGTGTGTATATATGTGTGTGTGTGTGTGTGTGTATATATATATATATTTAAACCCAACTCTGAATTGGATCCAGTGTAGGTCCAATATACATTTTATAGTCAATAAGTTAATTTACTTCATTTTGGCACTTGGGATCAAAACAAGTATGAAACTATATTTAAAGCAACATTCTACTTAGAGTCTGTAAAATTATGCACTAGTAAAAGAGAATAAAAAAAGAATGGCAAACAGATTAAAATTGCTTGAGAATTTCATCAAGTGTAACCACAAAAAGGATTTGCAAACAAACCACCTGTAGGAAGGTAACGGGAAGGGGAAGGACATAAGAATTGAGGAATAATTTATGATAACAGAATCAACATACAGCCCCACCCCGTGACTGTTTTTCATTAATGAGCAGTCTGTGAACAGTTGAAGTCAGACTTTGAATTGTGTGTGTGTGTCTGTGTGTATTTATTTTTTTGTAGCAGTTTCTTTGAAAAAAAAAAAGAAAAATAAAGTATGTCTGTGTTTTTCCTCCCTTTTCTCATTTGATTCAGTGTGGAGTTGAAAACATCAGAAGAGCTGAGTCTCTTAATGGAAATCCATTGTTCTCTAAGGTATCTACAGTGTTACAACCGTTTTAGTAGAACATACCAGAGAGTAATCCTCTGAGAAACTCTTGCAGAATATTGGTTTTTCTCACATATTAGAACATTTGGAGTTCCAATTAATTACAAAAATAAAATCGAATTCCTTATCTGCTCAGTCTTTTTTCCTTCAGATAGCCCCAATTTTCTGATTTCTACCCACCTATAACTATGTCTGATTTAAAACCTGCTTTCCAGAGAAAAGGCCTAGTGGGTGGGGTAAGAGGTTTTCATTTCCTGAAATCTCTGTTTTAACTTTCTCTAAGCTGAGGATTCTCAGGAAAGGAAGATGCTGTAGAATTTGGTTCAAAGGGCTCACCACTCGGATGAAAAGAAACCCCAAGCCAGAGTGCTGACCTGGGCAGCTGGAGGAGGGGGCATGGCAGACGAGCAGACCCTGTGCTTCTCATGCCTCTTTGCCTCTTGTCTGTCTTCCAGGCCCTGGCCGACTTGGTGCATTCGCACATCCAGTCAAACGAGCTGTGTTCCAAGCAGCTGACCCTGAGCTGTCCGCTCTGTGTCAATCCTGTCTGCAGGGAGACTAAATCCTTCTTCACCAGCCAGCAGCTGTGACCCCACTGGTGGACCCTGTGGCATTAGGCAAATGCCCAACCTCCAGATACCTCCGATGTGGAGAGGATGTTATTAGAGATCAAGGAAGGAAGTCATCCTTCCTTGATATATATACAGCCTTTGGGTACAAATTGTGTGATTTCTTGAGGATTGGACTCTATTGATGGATTTCTATTTTTGTATAACTATACAGTAAGCATTTGTATTTTCTCTCTCTAGGTATGTTACTAGTTTGGAATGTCCACTAGGACCTTTAATAAATGAGTTAAAAATGTATCTTATTAGACACACCTATTTTAAATAGAGATTTTGGCTTTCTTGCCCAAAAGCCTCCTGAAAGAGTACAGAGAGTCCCGTCTGTGGGCTGGCAGTGTGAATGAGATCTGTTTAGTCTTGTGCATATAGTTGCTGTTTTTTAAATGAACATAGTTGAGTATTTGAAGTGAATTTGAAAAAGAAATGTTACTTAATCTTTCCCTAAGCCCATGGGTTACAGAGTGCTATGGAGGCAATTTGGTTACCTGCAATGGCTGCTGTTGCCAGCGAGGCTACCATTCATTGGTCATCTTGGTATTTGTGTATTAATCTCACTTTCCTCAGTGTAAAAAGGAATCAAGTACAGATTGCAGAAGTGCTCTGAGATTCCCCATACACCCAAGGCTAATAAACGTGTGCCAGTACAGTGTTCATGATACGTGCCTTGGTGGGAGTCTGTGGTGCCACAGCTCCCACTGCTTCTGGTCTCCAAGGACAGTGCTGCTGGAAAGGCTAACGATGAGCTTCACCCTGGAGCTCCTCCCGGGACCTTGCAAGCCTTTCCATCCAGCATCTTCTCTTAGTTGAATGCCTTCTTTCTATACATTTGTTTTCAGAATTATTTTATAAGGTCAACAGTACTTCACTTGAATTCTTTCTTAATTTACAATTTTTTATTATAAAAATTTATAGCCATACAATGGGACACGTGAAGAGTACAGAAAAGTAACCACTTTAATGAAATAACTATTATCATAATATTGTATTTCATGCTAGTCCATTCCTGTAGATATTTTTAATGCCATTGTCACCTTGGATTTGTGAGTGAAAAGTGTTTCTAAAAGTATAGAAATAATATCAGATCAGAATCTGATCTATATTTGTATTTAAATGGATTAAAAGATCCCTGGTGGTTCCATGAAGAATTTGTAAAGATCACTTTCTCTTTCCTCCAAACCCTGAAACTTTGTTCTCCAAAAGAGCATTTTTTTAAAGCCAGTTTATAAACTGGAAGTATTAGGAGATTCATAAATCTTCCATATTGAGAATTGGCTGTGTTAATAAATATTACGACATCATTAAGGTTTTAACTAAGTTTGATTCATGCTGTCTGTTAAATCAAAACTGATCTAAATCAAAATTATTCAATGTGAGGAGCTTTTTTAATGCAGGAAAAGAAGCATGCCATCCACTTGAGTTAATAGTTTTCCCACATTGATGACAGCCCTCTTGAGTAGCGTCTACGTTTTTAAAATTTCAAATTGGCTTTTCTATTAGTAGACTGTGTTTCTAGAGAAAGATACAAGGCATAGGTAATTGTTTAGGATTTTCCTCTAGCCTTTTTGGGGATTAGGTTCACAGTAGACTTTGAGTGACCATCCCACCATGAGGTGAATTCTCTGGGTTAGTGGTGTGGTGCTGGAAGGAAGGTTATTTTTTGGAGCCACTCTCTCTCCTTAAGGAAACTTCCCAAGGGTCTGCTTCAATTCTTCAATGAAAAAATAGACGTGAAAAAATATTTTTATGGAGATGATGCAGAAAACTCCAATTCAGGAGCCCTTGCGAGTATATCTGAAGCAATTATTTGCTAAGGAAACCTGAATTGATAGTGCTGTGCTGTCTGAACTAATGTCTTTGATGCTGAGTTGGGACCAGACCAGCTTTTATAGCGACAGGCAAAGAGGGATTTATTGAGATCGCTGCTCATGGCATTTGTTACTGTAAGAAGTGTTGCCTTTGATTGTTACTAACCATGGATGGGTAATGGTCATACACTAGGCTAGCGTTTGGTAGGACAAAATCTTTTTAGAGCTTTGAGAATTGTCATCCTGTTGGTCAACTTTGAAATACAAATGTTTGCCCTGGTAATTAGCAGGGAACTACTGGCAGTTTCTTCAAGCTGTATATGTACAGATCTGGCTTTTAATTGATGAATCAACTTCTACAGAAACTTTTGCAAGGACAGTGTTGATAAGGCAGTTTAGCTTGCCAGGGTGATGACAAAGCCCAGGTCCCTGCATGTACAGTGCTTTTCTAAAGAATATGCATTCTTGAACTACTTTTTTAAAAATCAAAATAAATTTTTGCACTCAAAATTTGCTTCATATCAGGAGAAATGAACTCATTGTGTGTCTGTGTGGTTTTTTTGTTTGTTTGTTTGTTTTAAGATGGAGTCTTGGTATGTCACCCATGCTGGAGTGCAGTGGTGCAATCTCATCTCACTGCCACCTCCACCTCCTGGGTTCAAGTGATCCTCCCACCTCAGCCTCCCAAGTAGCTGGGACTATAGGAGTGCACCACCACGCCGGGCTACGTTTTTATATTGTTTGTAGAGATGGGGTTTTGCCATGTTGTCCAGGCTGGTCTTGAACTCCTGGGCTCAAGGGATTCTCCTGCCTCAGTCTCCCAAAGTGCTGGGATTACAAGGATGAGCCTCTGCACCTGGCCCTGAACTCATTATTAAAAGCCCTTTAAATGTGAGGCTGGGTGCAGTGCCTTACATGTGTAATCCCAATACTTTGGGAGGCTGAGGTTGGAGGATTGCTTGATCCCAAGAGTTCAAGACCAGACCCTGACTCTACAAAAAATAAAGTAAAAATTAACTGGGTGTAGTGGCACATGCCCGTAGTTCCAGCTACTTGGGAGGCTGAGTTGGTAGGATTGCTTGAGCCCAGCAGTTTGAGGTTGCAGTGAGGTGTGATTGCACCACTGCACTCCAGCCTGGGTGACAGAGGAAGACCCTGTCCCAAAATTAAAAAAAAAAAAAAAAAAAAAAAGAGAAATACTGGAGACTGGGTCATTTATAAAGGAAAGAGGTTTAATCGACTCAGTTCGGCGTGTCTGAGGAAGCCTCAGGAAATTTACAGTCATGGCAGAAGGGGAAGCAGATGTCTTACATGGCAGCAGGTGAGAGCTTAAGCAAGCGGGGAAGAGCCCCTTATAAAACCATCAGATCTTGTGAGAACTCACATGAACAGCATGGGGGGAACTGTCTCCATGTTTCCATCTCCTTCCACCAGGTCCCTCCCTCAACACGTGGGGATTATGGGGATTACAATTTGAGATGAGATTTGGGTGGGGACACAGAGCCAAACCATATCATTCCACCCTGGCCACTCCCAAATCTTATATCCTTTTTACATTTCAAAACCAATCATGCCTTCCCAAGAGTGCCCTAGAGTCTTAACTCATTCCAGCATTAACCCAAAAGTCCAAGTTCAAAGTCCCATCTGAGACAAGTCAAGTCCCTTCTGCCTGTGAGCCTGTAAAATTAAAAGTAAGTTAGTTACTTCCAAGATACAATGGGAGTCCAGACATTGGTAAATGTTCCCATTCCCAATGGGTGAAATTGGCCAAAATACAGGGGCTACAGGCCCCATGCACTACTGCACTCCCCTGTGCAAGTCTCAAACCTGGCAGGGCACTCCTTAAATTTTTTTTTTTTTTTTTTAAGATGAGTCTTGCTCTGTTGCCCAGGCTGGAGTGCAGTGTGATCTCGGGTCACTGCAAGCTCCGCCTCCCGGGTTCAAAGGATCATTCTGCCTCAGCCTCCTGAGTAGCTGGGATTACAGGCGCCCGCCACCACACCCGGCTAATTTTTGTATTTTTAGTAGAGATGGGGTTTCACCATCTTGGTCAGGTTGGTCTCTAACTCCTGACCTCGTGATCCGCCCGCCTTGGCCTCCCAAAGTGTTGGGATTACAGGTGTGAGCCACCGCCCCCGGCCTACTCATTAAAGTTACAGAATAATCTTTGACTCCATGTCTCACCTCCAGCTCACGCTGATGCAAGAGGTGGGCTAATCTTTCTCATAACTTGGGTATTTAATTCAAGAAACCCTAACTTAAGGCATGTAAAAGAGATCCTTTGCTCAATCTGATGCCATTGTGTTTATCCAAAGTGTATTATCATTACCCACAAAGGGTGAGAGAGTAGGCTGCAACCATACCCCAAGTGGAGTGAGCAGCAAGACCTGCCCCTGCTCAGAGTGTAGGTGATCGAGGGCACCTGCCTTCCTAGGGGCTCTGCCGTATGAGCTCCTCTCGATGCGGCAAAGGACCACCTTGCACAACCACAGCGGGAAGGCAGAATTTAAAGCTGGCAGCTGTAAGAAAGCGAACGTCTGTGTGTGCACACGGGGGCGCGTGAAGGCGCAGGTGCATCAGCCAGGAACCTCCAGTTCGCCTCGTAACCTTCTCACCTCACCTGAAACCCCTTCTGCCAGAATCCTGAAGGTGGTCCAGGAACGTGGCTCCCAACGTTAGGTGGAAATGGGAAATTCATTGAGATGTCACAAGCTGGAATAAGAAAATTCCGAGCTCACTCGGAAATGAATGCCCTAAATTAAGATTATTCAGCTTCTCAGTTGTTAATAGCAAAATGGAGACCTGAGCGTGGATAACTTTTGGTATCTGTGGGGAATCCTGGAACCAATCCCCACCGATATAGAAGGACAACCGTCCACAGTACTTGAACGTATTATTAACTGTATTCATTATGTATGTTAGATGCCCAGAACATATTTATCCTGCATATCTAAACGTTTGATCATTTTACAAACCTTCTATTTTTTTTTTTGCCAATTTTATCCAGCTAGACACTTGTGCAATATGACTGTTATCTGATCTTTGCCTTAAATGTTGTGCTTCTTTTCCATATGCACGTATTTTGCAAAATATAAAGTGTGTAGAGCTATATAGCACTGAGCCAAGTGGTGGGTACCTGCGGGTGCTTCAAAGAAGTAAACTGATGCTGCTAACATTTGTTGAATGGCACGAACATGATGAGCAATAGCAGGTGGTGCCCTTCAGCCAGACCATTGCTCCATGCGTGTGATGCCTCTTGCCAAACAGTAGTTCTGGGAGGTGGTTGCCTCTAGAGAACACATTCCTAATATCCTGGGGTCCCATGAGAGAAAGAAATGCTTTTGCTTTTGACGTGGGACTCGTATTAAGCCTTTCTTCAGGAAAAAGGCAGTGAAAAATGCACCCTGTGATAATCAGTTTCTTACAACATGCTGTGATAGTACTGGCTTCATTGTTTTTAGCTGGAATCATTAGCTTCCATTTTTAGAGTAACAGCTATTGGCTAAATTAGGCTACAGTAGGCCATTAAGATGGATGTTGGAATTAAAAACATTTTTGGAAAAAAGCCTGCTTTGAGCCTTTGTTAGAAGCCCTTGGGCAGAGATCTGGGTCCTGTTTCTAATTTCTTGTGAGCCTTCACTCTGACAGTTTTGTTTCCAGAAACACACTCTTAGCCTGCTCCTGAAATGGGAACAGACAGGCCAACTTCCCCTCTCCAGTCTCCCCTGCGGGTCAAAGCTTTACTTTCCTGTCATGTTAAGAAAGAATAGATTTAACCTCGAGAATCCATGGAGTATTCTGTATTCTTACCTTTTCCTTATTTTAAAAAAGTGTACATATGGCATGGAATTGATTGCACAGGCACATGACATGTTGACTTGTGAACCCATTGTTAAAATTTCAAGTTAACAATCATTAAAATAATAACTTTCAAATTAAGTTATGTTAAAAACAAAGGTAACATTCAAAATTCATTGCTTTCTAATTATTTCACCCTATTTTTTGTTGTTGATTATTTAGACTTAGGAAAGTGATGGGAAAAACGTTAATAACGCAATACATAATTGTTTCTGCAACCATTACATTGTGATATTCACAAACACTTGAACACTTGAATAGTCTTCCATTATCTGAAAACTATTATTCAATTTATCCAAGTGAAGTATTGGCATACAAAGAAGTTGTTTCATATTTGCATTGCTCATTAATGTAAACAAAACGTCAATATGTGTGAACTATGCTTGTTGATCAATTGCAACCACAGGTTGGTTGCAGATACAAGAGCTTGGTAAAAATCAACAAAAGCATTCTCTGAGGATGAATTGGCTATATGGAAGTTATAGGAAGGCGTATTGTGTATTTTATTATTATTTGTAAATTGTGTGTTCCACATCTTTTAGATAAGTAAAATTTATAGTAAACGTACTCTCACACATACATATATGCATAGATTGTTTTTCAGATTGCTGGTTAGTCACCATTTACCAGCACACTGCTGCCTAAAAGGAAACTTTTCTGGGATGATGGAAATGATATCTATGGATTGCATACTTGTATTGTTCTCCACATTCATGATATAGAGAGGGAGCTCTTTCTATAATCACTGCCTATTTGGAACAAAAGTTACTTATGCCACAGTGACTAGGGGCATAAGTCTTTTTAGTAAGATTCCATTTGTCTTCACCAAAAACCCATGGGCCTGTAGTACTAACAGAATCCATGGAAAGTGATTCCCAATCCAAGTTCCAGCCAGAGGGCTAAAAGGGACAAAATCTTTCCGATGACATAGGTCTGTCTGAAAAGTCCGCTTTTTACTTGTCATCTCATCCAGCCCTGGAAACTTGTCACGGGGGAAGACCAACGCAGCAGTGGGGAAGCACCCACTTCAGGGGAGCATGAATTGCTCATTCTCAAGATTTGGCAGTGGGGAACCAAGTGGCCTCTGGGAGGGCTACACCTTACAGCGTCCATGACTACACTGGAGAGAATGAGACGGAACACTGTGTGCAGAGCCGTAGAGCTCCAGCTGGCCCCTGAAGGCAGCCCACCTTTTCACTAACACTGGTGAGACCCTCTCACAACGTGTCCCCATCATACTCTAGAGCCTTGGGTTGCACGGTCCTGTTTTTTCCTGAAGCAAAGCAATCTTTTCCCCAAGCTACACTCCGCAGACAAGCAGCTTCTTTTATTTGTATCTTTCTCCTGTCAATTGCATGACAGAAAAGAAAAACTGTGTCAAATAGTGAATTCTCACCCCTTCCTATGCCTCACAGCTTGATGCAAATAAAGACAGCTACTCTAAGCAGCCACTTCACCTTTTTGTGTCCCCCAAGCCTCTCCCTGGGCCTCTTCTGAACTCCTGGTTCACTCTGTTTCTGCGATGCTTTCTCCTGTTTCCAGTTGCGGTGTTATCCTTTGCTGCAATCCCTTGATCCTCAGGACCTAGGAATATCTTCCAGGTTTTATGCCCGATCCCTTCTGAATCCCCCAAAGGCCAAGTACCGAGCCGAGCCATGGTGGCATCCAGCAGCAAAG